AGCAGAGTACTCCAGTGAGCCACGTCTTGTTCGACACCAGCGCGCTTCCACGAAACCTGGATTTCCTGGACATAGATGTGGATCGATACTTGGCTCGGAGGCCTTGGCTGGAATGTTGAGATCCCAATGCTTGAGGTTTCCTCGGAGATATGTCGAAATAGATATTGAAATGGGAAACACGATGATTTTCACCATTAATCGATTATTTGAACGGGGTATCATGGGGTATCCTATGTTGAGACAAACCCAGAAGATGCTTCATTTTACATTAGCTATCTGGAGATGATTGTTTCATCCACTGGGACTCTGGTCTTGCCAACCAAGAAAAAATCCTTTCCGGAAGGAATCCCATATTCTCCATCCATGGATATCCATGGTGTATCACTACATGGGTGACTTGTTGCTTCAATGATGTGGCAATAGTCTAGGTATATCCAGCATGTGGCTATTAAATGCTATAAAAAATGGTGTTCTCAGTGTTCTCCAAGTCCCAATCTGCCCTCCTATGCCATGCCATGCCATGCCGCCGCGAGGAAACGAAATGGGTGGAAATCTCACCTGGGAGGCACCCAGTGATCCAACCCACGCAGCTTGGCGTCAGGCACCAGAAACTAGATATCACCTGGTTGGTGGTTTCAAACATGTTTTTTTCGCACATATTGGGAATAATACTCCCAACTGACTTTCATATTTTTATATGGGATGTCATCCTTCCCATTGACGTTCACTCCATGATTTTTCAGAGGGGTAGGTCAACCACCAACCAGTCATGTGCTTCGTGCAACAACTATCTTATAAACTATCTTATATAACAGGACTGTTTATTTTGGGGAGGCGGTGTTACTTGTTGTTCTCAAATTTTCTGCCACCCTTCGGCAACCTCAGCTGATGATTTTGGTCTACACCTCGGACCCCGGAGAATAGTGGAATATCCATAAATCCCAGCTAGAGCAGCTCCCAATAGTTAGAGGAGTTTTTAACAAATCCTACTAAAATGGTGGTAATTATGTTTCTATGTTTTTTTTTTTTTTATGGGTAATGGGCCCTATGTCCTACAGTTTGATGTCAACAGAAGGCTACCAGGCTTTTGTCTCATATACCTGTTCAGACAACGCATTTTAAGGTGACAAAATCATACAACACCGAGACCTTCCAAAAAGAAATGGATGATTCAGTGCTGAAACCTTCCATCATCTTCCCGTTTCTGCGTCAGGGATGCAGCTTTCACCGCTCATCCCGAGGTCGTTGAGTACGTGATCTACTTGGGTGAGAATGCTTATGGTACCTCGGCAATCTGTGCTGACTGGTCCATACCGCCCATATCATTCATGTATGGTCCATGTCTATCTACCAAAACTTGGATGTTTTCGGGGTAAAATGTAAATATATCATGCATGGATGATGTGGGTAATTGATGACCATTCCACTTGTGACATACAGTCATCGCGAACAGTGAGTCCCAACCCCAGTGAGAAGTAGTAGTATATGAGCCCTGGCAATATGACACCCACTGGTGCATAGGCATTGCATGGATCACAAAAAAAATGACCCCTGGCATGCAATCCTAAGGTGGTGACTGATACACAAAGCATTTTTGCGCTTTCAATGTAAATATGTGATGTAGCTGATGTAACTGGACGTAACTGATATCAGTATTTTTCCAAAATTATGTTTTGGAGTTAATGTCAATGTGTGCACTGTAATTCACTGAAAACGTTGATGTGATTTTTCGATAGGGGTTCATTGAATTTCAATGATTCCCTACTGTGATCACTACGGTTACCGTATATGTTTTTTGATTCTATATATCGAGATAAAATGGTGGTACCCCCAAATCATCCAAGTCACTAGACGAGTTTAGTATTGAATTCCATGCTGACTTTGGGATCCGCATGATTTAAGAACCTCCCATTGATGATTTTCCCAGCCCTCAATCCCCATTTCTAGGGGAACTTCCCGGCTAGAAACCTTTTCCCATCATCCCAGATGGCAGTGTGTCAAAACCTTGTACCCCTTCTGTTCACATCAAAATAGCTGGGATTTATGGATGTTCATCCCCCTAAAAATGGTATTTTCATAGGTATTGATCCATACCCAGATGTTTCTTCTGGATGTCAGGGATCATTGGGGCTGCGCTGAGGCAAGGACCGATCGCTGCTGGGAAACGTTTCGGAGTCCACCTTTGAGCCTCTCGGCGGAGACGAACGGTGCCAGGTCATCGTCGATGCCATGGGAGCTGTCAAATGACTGGGAAATTGATGGGAATAAAATGTGGATTTACATGGATTTACAGTAGATAGTCCCTATAATTCACCAGTATAAAGGGATATGTTTCTATGAAGTAATGGGGTTACTAGGAGGAAACAATGAGATACGTATTCTTTTAATATATATATATATGATTACAAAATATTACAAATGTATTTACTGGGATTTATAGTGGGGTATACAACCAATACGTTTTGTATCATCTATCCAGTGCGGTTTTGGGCCCAAGACCAATCAATTGTAGAAACTGGTCCGTAAGTTCGATTGGAGCTTCTCGACACATGCTTCAAGTCACTGTAGCTTTGCCAAGCGGTTGCAGTGAGAAGTTTTCGATTGCGCAGTCCTCCAAAGTAGGGGACTTGAGGGTTCTGGCACAGAAGTCATTTCAACGTGGTTTCTTGAGGCTTGTGGCTGCAGACCATCACGCGTTGGATCCTACAGTGTCTCTGCAAGCTGCGGGACTCGAGGATGGAGACCACCTGACGGCTATTGTCCTGGAGGCAAAGCTGGCAGCAGCAGCAGAAGCTTTTGCCTTGTATTGCTTTGGAGGTGACCGAGTTGTGACATGGGGCCTTGAAGTTGGTGGTGGCTCTAAAGTCCAAGATCAGCTCAAAGGTGTCCAGCAGGTTCAAGCTACAAGTAAGGCATTTGCTGCAATCCTGGCTGATGGGTCAGTCGTGACTTGGGGCGAACCAGCTCGTGGAGGTGACAGCTCTGAGGTCCAAGATCAGCTGAAGGGTGTCCAGCAGGTTCAAGCAACAGCCTATGCATTTGCTGCCATCCTGGCAGATGAGTCTGTCGTGACTTGGGGTGCGCGAAATTGTGGTGGTGACAGCTCTGAAGTCCAAGATCAGCTAAAGGGTGTCCAGCAGGTTCAAGGAACGGATTGGGCATTTGCTGCGATCCTGGCTGATGGGTCTGTCGTGACTTGGGGCGAACGAGCTTTTGGTGGTTACAGCTCTTATGTCCAAGATCAGCTCAAGGGTGTCCACAAGGTTCAAGCTACAATTCAGGCATTTGCTGCAATCCTGGCTGATGGGTCAGTCGTGACTTGGGGCGAACCAGCTCGTGGAGGTGACAGCTCTGAGGTCCAAGATCAGTTGAAGGGTGTCCAGCAGGTTCAAGCAACCTTCTATGCATTTGCTGCGATCCTGGCTGATGGGTCAGTCGTGACTTGGGGCGAACCAGCTCGTGGAGGTGACAGCTCTGAGGTCCAAGATCAGCTGAAGGGTGTCCAGCAGGTTCAAGCAACAGCCTATGCATTTGCTGCCATCCTGGCAGATGAGTCTGTCGTGACTTGGGGTGCGCGAAATTGTGGTGGTGACAGCTCTGAAGTCCAAGACCTGCTGAAAGGTGTCCAGCAGGTTCAATCAACAGGCCATGCATTTGCTGCGATCCTGGCCGATGGGTCAGTCGTGACTTGGGGCGATCCAATGCGTGGAGGTGACATCTCTGAAGTTCAAGACCAGCTGAAAGGTGTCCAGCAGGTTCAATCAACAGGCCATGCATTTGCTGCGATTCTGGCCGATGGGTCAGTCGTGACTTGGGGCGATCCAGTTCGTGGAGGTGACACCTCTGAAGTCCAAGATCAGTTTGCATGTGTGTAACATTGAATCCTACATTTATTTTTTTGATCGGCCGTTGGAAGTGTGCTTGAAAAGGCCAGGGAGAGACATTCAGGAAGGTGGATGGGGTGGATGTTTATTTGCGATGTTGATTCAGGGAATGCTTAAAATATACTCTTTCCATGGTATGCAAGATATGTGATCTTGGGATACCACCAGGACATTCTCTAAGATGCACATGAGCACACAAGAAAAGAGAAAGTGTTCAAACATTACTCATGACCAAAAGCTTATCTCTTCTTCTTTTCTCACTCTGAAGTCCAGGTGACCCAAGCTTACCCTCAGTGATGAGTGGGCGAGACCCCAAATGCAAGGGTTTAACATGCTTTTCCAATACCCAAACAAAAGAAGAAACACTTTACCACAGATGATCAGACTCGGTTTCCTGAAGCAGAAACAACATGAAACAACAACTATGCAGATCAAAGTGCCATGTCCAAACCGCAAAGGTCACAAGTCAAAAACTAACAAAAGCAAAGCAGAATAGTCATTACAGTCCTCTTTTTGCTTTTGGCTCACACTAGTCTGAAACTACGGTCCGTGAAGGGTATCGGACAAAATGTGAATGGTTTACAGTTGTCAGGTCAAAAAATGGACAAAATATCAAATATTATCAAATGCACCCAGCCACCTAGGTTTTTTGAAGTCTCCAGTCAAAATTGATGGAATTCCCATTGACGAAATATGTGCGCCAACCCATGTATTTTATTTATATGTTTTCATTTGCGGTCTTAAGATACTGTTTCATGTTTGTTTATGAAGATAGACCATGCTTCTTGCACAGAGCTGTTTGCACATGCTTGCTAGTTGCGAAGCAGAATTGCAAATCTGACAAGAAAAACTAAAAACAATACATCAGTTCGAAAGAGAAAAAAGGAACACAACATGAATGCAAAACAAAGCAAACACGTAGTTCCGTTTTGCCCCCTTTCATCCGTTTCCTTTATTCCATGCGGCTTCATAATTTTCCATGTTTTTTTGGTAGCATGTTTATGCTTGCAAATTCCCGCATGATGCTGAGTTTGATCGTGTGTCGATCGATGTAGGTGGGATTGAAAACTGATGAGAGCGAAGCAGATAAGCAAAAATGCTTTTGATGCATCTCGGGTGGAGAGGGCCTACTGTGAAGGTACAAGAGTTGTTCTAGAGGCAGCTATCATTGCCCATGAGAGCCGGTACAATCATGTTAGAATCCAGGTTTCGGACCCTCCACCCAGTCTACAATGGCCCAAAAAAACACGGTAAGAGAAAAATAACGGGACATCACACATTTAGCCAACAAAGCCAGCCAAGTGAACAGTCTGAGGACTCTTAGGCTTGCCAACCAAGCATGGTTTAATCAAGAAAGATACCAATGTTGTAAATTGTCGAATATGTGATAAACTGAATACGTGAATGGGAGTGGTGACGGGAGATAGGGCCAGCTAGGGCTATTCATATTCCGTTTGGAGCTACTTAGAGGTTCCCACATGACAGTACTGATCACATAGCCTCATCAGAATAGAAAACCACCCCCAGTGGAGGATGGTGCCGACTATTTTAGATGGAGGCACATTCAAAAAAACGCCCTTGGCGTAACACGTACATATTACATTTCTCCAGTTTTCATGTTTTGTTGGGCGTGATGATGCAATGATATTGAAGAGGGTCACTTAGTTTCTCGAAGTGGATTTCAAGACATTTTTTTCCGTGGGATGGCATAAATCCGGTTCCACCACTTGAAAGTTCGGAGCTGTGTTGTGGAGACATTATACTGACATTGCAGCCCTTCAGGTCAATCGACTGGCTGATTTTGCACTTGCTGCGTGTTTGTACATACTGTTGGCTTCTTTGTATGATTTTTTGAGGATGGGTCACAACCACCTACCCAGTTTTTCCCATTGTAGTGGAAGCCATCCTGAGCTTGCAGGGCCACGTTTTGTTTTATTATTTTATTCCATCTTATTAGATTTTACCCAGTGTAAATCTGTATGTTTAAACATTTCATGAACCATCCCGTGCTTTTGGCTCGTACTAGAGCATGTTATGCCATACCGATTGGTTGCTCTCACTTGGGCCCAGAAAACAACAGAAACCCAGCTGCGGCAACCGCGGCAACGGCTGCAGGTTTTTTGTTCCACTGGACACCTTGATTGACAACTTTACCCACCTGCTAGTGTGCCTTGGACAGATCGATTTCAGGGGAAGATTTGATATGGGAATTCCATGGAAGCAGCTGCCATGGTGTCAAATGGCTGGCTGCAACACCCCCAAAAAACGAATTAAGCTTATAGTTATATATATATAGATAAATATACACATGTTTGGGGAAATCATCTACAAACAGTGGATTTACAGCAAACCATGTGTACAATTTTCAACTTGAGGAAAGGGCAACATCTCTGATGAGCACTTCCCAGCTTTGATGTTTACCAGCGCAATTTTTGGGCCCATAGCCACATGTGGGGCCCGTAGTGAAATGACAAGGACATCTCCATATGTCTGTTGTATTATTGTGACCTCCCGATTATACAATAGCCCTCCGTATATGCGGGAAACATTTTTCCTCCAAAATTTTCTGGAGGGAAAGTTGACAAAAAACACATTGAATGTTAAAATATCGCGTAATGATTCGAAGATTCGTGCTAAAACCACACGTCAGTGAGAAACACGTCCTGCAGATTTGTGTCATTCGTTTTGTCCCTTTGCCCACGAGATTGTGGTTGGTGTTTGTGGAAACCCTGTAGGAATCCCATACCTTTGGTGAATTTTCCTTTGTCTTTTACTTCCAAATATCCTCATGCATATCGTCATAAATCCACTTTGCTGCTTAGTAGGCTTATATATCTCATTCCCGTTGGTTGCCATAGTGCGGGCGTGTTTCGTTTCGCCAGGTATTCCAAGTCAGACCTGGCGGAGATGACGACGCCTGCTGCGCTGCTGATTAAGGATTCAGTGGCAGAGGTGGACAACATCACTCTCTTCGATCGGGACCAGATGGGATGGGATGAAAACGTTGATGGCTGGGTATCGTCCAAACATGAAACATGTGTGATCCTAACGTGAAACATGTGGTTGATACCCCGGTCATCCATCCATCATCAACATCCACAAAATGAATCAACTTATGATCTGTGTGAGGAGGGGCAATGAACGATTTCGACAATTTTCCCAGAGTAGGAAATGTAGGAAATGTAGGAACCACACAATGTCATCGTTTTTGGTGAATGTGTCAATGCAAGCCCGATGAATAGCGGCAACTCTAAATAAACTCTAAATTCTAAGTATATATTATATAATATATATAGTAACTATATTAAATATACTGGTAACTCTAAATATATACCATTTTGGAATATAGATAACGCCCTTTCCAAGTCTAAGCAACGACGACGAGGACTTGGACAAAGATGAAGTCGGCGGAGAAATCACCTGGGATCCGCCTACGGAAGAGAGAATCGTGGACAAGTGCCCTGGGTTACCTGGGTTAATGGGATTTCAATGGTGATTTTTTATGGTGAATGGTGATTTCAATGATGATTTTATGGTGTTTTTTTTTTTTTTATGCTGGTTTAATGGGTGTAAAGGGTTACCCTAGATTAATGGGATTTAAATGGTGATTGAATGGATGGCAATAGGATTTTTATTGGGGCAGGACACCGACGTGCTGTTGAACGATGTAGTTGTTTTTCACTAAATGACAGAATCTCGTGACTCGTTTGACAGGTTACAGTATATAGATACTTTCTTTTGGTTTCCTGATGTCAAGTTTCTGAAATTATTCTCAAATTTATTGCTAGTTCAATGTTTAGTCAATCATTAGATAGATCCATATAGATCCCTAACAAAGCATACCATGAAGTATCCATTATATCAACCTGAATTCACAGAATCTCGATACTTTTTCAATCCTAGCGTTGGTTGAAGGGAACGTTAGCAGAGATTCAACTGATTCCTGAAATTTCCCATGGGTAAAACATATCTCTGAGTCAACATGAGCAATTTCATGATTTATTGCCTATCTACGTGATATGATGAACATAAACTATATTAATCATTCCCAGAAGATATTATCAGATTTTCCAATATACGATGGAACTATATAGAATTGATAACACTGATCATATACTATGTTATGATAATCCCATATACAAGTCCTATATGTTATTATGTTATTATAACTATATAACATGATAAAACATAGAATATATCGATGTTCCAAACTTAGAACGTATCTATTTCTACATATATATATATATATTTATATTGGAACATTATATATAACTGATAAAAGTGATATAAAGTCCTAGAATACCCCGAAGTTCCCTGATCCACCGATCTCCCTTTTCCCCTTTCCACGGCGGGTTTTTCGGTGCCAGGTACCGGGTCTTCTTCCAGGTGGACCCCGCGGGGAGCGAGAAATCCCAGGTGGACACGGATCAGCCACCAGGCGACGCCTGAACATCGACGGAGTTCACTTGGAGATATCCCAGATTTGTAAGATATATGTAGCCTCTGGTTATGACTAACATAGCCATGGTATAGATGGCCCATAGAAATAGATGGTTTACCTAGCTATAAAATGGTGGATCTTTCCATGGCTATGTTAAATAACCAGATGGTATAATATATGTATATGTATATTTTTTGGATATATGTAAGATTTGTAAGATATATTTGATTTGTAAGATATCCCAGATATGCATCTGTATATATGTAATTATATGTATACATATATAATATATATTAGTATGTGATATGTGATATCTGATATGTGATATGAAATATGTAATATGTAATATATATACACGCGCAACGCCTGGGTTTTGCCCAGGCGTTGCAGCGTAGAGGCTTCCCATTCACAAACAAATGATGTTGCAAATTACCGTAATTCCTATGGGGAAAATAACAAAGGTACTAGGGACCATTAAACAAACAAGGTCAAAACACCCAAAATTCCTATGGGAAAAGCAAAAACGGCATAACATTTGAAATTCCTATGGGAAAAACAACAAAGGTACTAGGAAATTTTAAACTCTCAAATCGTCAAACTTAACATTCAATTAGGAAGATCAACAAAGATATTAGGGAATATTAAACTCCCACCCCCGTTAAACCTTAAATTCCTATGGGGAAAACAACAAAGGTACTAGGGACTATATAAAAAAATGTCAGAACACCTGAAATTCCTATGGGAAAAACAAAAACGGTATTAGGGAATATTAAACTCACACCCCCGTTAAACTTTACATTCAATTGGGAAGATCAACAAAGATATTAGGGAATATTAAACTCCCACCCCCGTTAAACTTCTACATTCATTGGAGATCTCCAGTAAGGATTTAATTCTCCCGCTAAACTTCTACATTCATTGAAGATCTCCAGTAAGGGTTTAATTCTCCCACCCCCGTTAAAATTCTACATTGATTGAAAATCTTCAATAAGGGTTTAATTCTCCCACCCCCGTTAAACTTCTACATTCATTGAAGATCTTCAATAAGGGTTTGATTTTCCCACCCCCGTTAAACTTCTACATTCATTGAAGATCTCCAGTAAGGGTTTAATTCTCCCACCCCCGTTAAACTTCTACATTCATTGAAGATCTTCGATAAGGGTTTAATTCTCCCACCCCCGTTAAACTTCTACATTCATTGAAGATCTCCAATAAGAGTTTAATTCTCCCACCCCCGTTAAACTTCTACATTCATTGAAGATCTTCAATAAGGGTTTAATTCTCCCACCCCCGTTAAACTTCTACATTCATTGAAGATCTCCAGTAAGGGTTCAATTCTCCCACCCCCGTTAAACTTCTACATTCATTGAAGATCTTCGATAAGGGTTTAATTCTCCCACCCCCGTTAAACTTCTACATTCATTGAAGATCTCCAATAAGAGTTTAATTCTCCCACCCCCGTTAAACTTCTACATTCATTGAAGATCTTCAATAAGGGTTTAATTCTCCCACCCCCGTTAAACTTCTACATTCATTGAAGATCGTCAATAAGGGTTTGATGATGTTGATGATGATGATTCTTATTTTGTTGATGAACATGATGTTGATGATGATGATGATGATGACGATGATGATGATGATGATGCGTCGCCCGTCGTCATTGCGGCTCCGGGCAAAACCCAGGCATTTGCCGTATATATACACTACTGATATATGTGGACACATCCTCTATATATACATATTTACATATATTGGATGATGATATGTGGAATGACAATGGGATGACAAACATATGGGATGATAGATACCTTATATTTTTTTGGTAGACTGAACATGGACCGACATCCATGCAATGGCAACAAAAATGGGAGATTCAACTACAAACGGGCTGATTACAATTAATATACTGGACAGATATCATAATGGAATGCATATTGAAATAGATGCCGGGATTGTAATGACATTTGATAAGAGCGGGACATAATTTCAGACAATGTGCTCATGAATTTGGTTTATGGCTTCAAACATTTTCTGTTTTCCATCCTTCGGGGATGATTTCAATTGACAAGTGGGTATTTGTCGTGGGTTGAAACCACAAGCCTGCTAAGCTAGAGATGGAACATCACAAAAATGGAAGTTGACCCATCTTGACCAAGAACACAGGATTCAATCAAAAAAATAAGGCTTTAGAAAGTTGCAGTAGTTGTTCTTCAGTATGACATTTTAATCAACAGCCACGGGGACCAGCAGCAGGATCTCTCACTGTGTCGTTCCCTGAAGACACCAACGTGCCTTGTCAGTGGCCGGTGCTGTACGACTTTGTAGGGCAGTTTACCAACCGGTTTCTGGTGAGATTGAATCTGCATTCACAACGGTTCTACGTTTGTTTTGAAATGTTCCGATTTATAGTAGATCTATATATCTCTACAAAGTAGGTGGCCAGTATCTGATACAAACATTACAATGTCGCACGAAGCTTCAAGATTGAACTGTAGGTATCAACACAGCAAGTTGAAAAAACACATGGGAAAGGTTATTGATTGGAGTGTGGTTGCGGGAAATATATTTGGGACTGGTCAAACTGGGACTACGTACTATATATATATACTTTATGCCTTCCAATGGTGCCTGCTTTATTGCAGGTTTCAGTTTAATGCTGTCGTGGGTTTTCAAACAAAGCGGAGGGACATCCCTATATGTAGATCCATTCAGGCACAAAATCTATTGATCCCTCCTAGATATAGTGAACTCACAGCAATTTCCAAGCAGACACGTTTTTCTCTTGTTCTTGGCAAACAAACGCAGCCTCTATGCTTTTGTTGTGGTGCACATTATTGCATGAATTGATGATACATGATGGGCAAATGATATTGGTGTGGTAAATCATCATTATTGTTTGATGCTCAAAACCCAGTCTTTGCTGGGTTTACTGGATGCCTAGTTTATCTGCGGGAAACTCTTATTTCAAAGGAACAATAACGTCTTTTCGACCTTTTTTGCTCTTAACAAGACCAACCCCTGCCCAGCCACCATCTACGCAACTGCGTCTTTCGGTTAAACCTATATTTAAGTGGTCAAACCCAATATTTTTCAATGCCCAGTTTAACTGTTTCCACCAGTATATTCCCATTAAATTAAATTCCCATGATATTTTCATCTATTCCCATGATAACCCCGTGTTACGCTCTGTAATTTAACATAGCTATTGAACATGACCATGTATAGTTGAATTACCCATTAAAAATGTTGATGTTCCATAGCAAACTGTTAGTTTACTAGAGCGCAACCACCCATGTTTTCACCAGTATATTCCCATTAAATTCGAGGATACGTTCATCTATTCCCATGATAAATAATGTTAACCACCTGCCCAAATACGTATATTCTCAGTATCTTGGGATATCCGGCCCAAAACACCTCATAAATTCCCATGAAATTCCCATGGCCCAAAGATATCCCAAAGATACCCTCTGGTAAACAGCCACATAACGAACTGGAAAGATCCACCATTTTCTAGCTGGGTAAATCCACTATTTCAATGGGCCATGTTTGACACCAGAGGGTATCCCCAGTGTTTCCCCCAGATCACGGGCATGGAGTACATTGGTATCTTCATCACCGCCTTTGGTATCGAGCAGCAAACACCCTCCGTAGCGCCCATTGTGGAAACGTGCCTCGCTGGTCATTTTTAGTGGATGGGGGTATTACCCTTACTGGGGATAACATTGGTTAATATGTGACTACTAACATCTACTAACCTTAATTAATGGGAATAAGTCGGAATAACATTGCTTGAGATATACTACACCCATTAGCAAATATGAAGATTGGGTATAAAAATAAGGGTTTATAATTGGTACAATAATGAACCAATAGATTACCCTCCAGTAAATTAACAGTTTGGACCCTGAAAATAAATATACTTAACCCTCTTTTAGTGGAAATTAATATCCCAACCCCGATAAATGGCAGGGCCTATGTTAATTTACCGAAGGGAAACCTTTAATGGACGGGGATATTAATTGATATATTGAAGTATAAACCCATGATATCCCCATCCTTATTTAACTATCGATAAAGTGGGTTGGGTGATGAACCTTAGGAACCATCGATGATGAGAATCTAATGGGTTTATAGTTTAATTATATATACGTATATATATATATAGTGGATGGGGATGAAATTGAGACATTCGCTTTACCCTAAAAATTAAACACCCCCCAAGAAACCACGGTGGATGCACAGGGGATGAAATCACATATTTGGATATATTTGGGACCATTGCATGGGGGTGTTCAATATTAGGTGGATGGGATTACACATGTAGGTTTCTACTGACCATCAAGAACTACAGTAAGGCTTTAACCAACAAGCATTGGGATATTCTGGAGAGATTATGGTTGGTTGATGGTAGGGAGAAGGATTCTTATCATTCGGTACTGCATGGTCTTTTACCCATGTCTCTTGGTCTTTTCACCACCATTGAGTGCTTGGATACCCCCTGAGCACTCTAAAATTGCCAGTAATTGGTTCATCTAAGCATTGTGATCTTTGGAAAATCGTGCATATCCATGAATATTGCTAGTCAAGGCTGCATTTTTTAGGAGAGGAACAGGTCTGTATTTTGTCTATCCATCCGGAAGATATCCTGAGATGCTAGTTGCACCAACGGCAGATGTTACACTCTTGCAAAGCTGGAACTTCCGCAGTATTCTATAGACTCCAGCATCTTCATATATATATATATATATATACATACCTACATATCTACATATCTACATGTATATATATATATATATACATATTTATATATATACATACAATATATTATATGATATACATACAATATATGTATCATCTGTACCCTGCGGCAAAATCGAAGAAATCCCAGGATCTCCTCGGTGGGCTTCGTGGCCTTCACGGACAAAGACCTGGACAATCTGCAGATCGGAGGGACCATCTACTGGGGACCTCCACCGGAGATCACCTACAACCAGGCCATAGAAACCTGGGAGGATTCCAAACAGGAAACATCTGGGGAAGAAGGGAAAACAGCTGGAAAAGAAGGCTAACTGGTGACTTTAGTAGGAACTTAGGAACTTTATATATTTTTTTTGATAATTGAATGAGGAAAGACATATTGGAAGACCAGAAAAGCTTGGGAAACCTTGTGGAGTATCATGATTCTAGGAGAAACTTGGATGTATATATTGTTTTCAAATTACTATGATTCAATATTGATATTACTCAAATTGATTTAACATGATTCAATACTATGGATAGAATTTTAACAACTTGACAACCAAGTATAATCAGGAACACCTTCTGCTTTTTGCTTGGTGAAGGATCAAAAACTGACTGGCGACTGGTGGAACTAGTTCATACCAAAACTTGGAATGATGGACGACCTGGATGTTGAAGAGATGGAACATGTGGCAAACATGTGGGGATGAAAACCTGGTATACCATGTATCTCATATTCACGGTCATGAAGATCCACTTACCAGCAATTTACAAGGGTTTTGGACCCGTATGCCCATGTGGATTTTGTTAATTAGCGATGTTTGAGATGGGATAGTAAAACAAAAAGGGGACATAGCCTGCAAAAATAGTGCCATTGGCATTACAGTAGGGGATCTATGCCTGAGGCTTCACTTGCTGCGATCCACCAAAAATCAGGGTGTAGTGTCGGGTGCCCACATAAGACAAGCCGCCAAGCCTCAACCAACCACTACACCAATCATGAACCAGCCATCACCCAAACATCAACCATTTAATCAACCCCCTAAGTAATCATGAACAAACCATCAGCCGACCCACCAAGCATGAAGCTAATATGAAAAGAGTCCGTCAGCCAGCCATTGAAACAAATGCCCACAGGACTATGTGGTCTACTATGCCCAGAGTGCCACCGGCGATGCCCGTTTGGTCGCAGGCCGCCTCGATTGATATGGGGAATCGGTGGAGAATCTATGGGAATCTATGGGAAATGGGTAATAATACATGGAAATATATTGGAACATATTCGCTACAATGGGGAATGATATGGATTATTTGGGATATTTTATGAGGTATTAGTGGGATATAGATGTTCGTCCCCCAGAGTCTTGGGCCCATAGGTTTTTAACCCCATAGCAATTTGGATTTATTCAACCAATAAAGTATTCAAAGAGGAATAGATATGAATCAAATTGAATCGATGGGAATTACTTAACCCAATTTTGGTGCAAAGATGGGTAAAACTCCGAACTGATGAATGGTATGTTTTAGTGTCTCATTCTCTTTCGACAAATCCGAAATCATCCGAAATCCAAGACTAAGCTATACACAGCCAGGAATCCACATATGGCCATGCACTGGACTAGATGAGCATCCCCCCAATTTCAACTTCCAGATGAGCTTCCACAACAGTGAATGCTCGAATATGCTCCAAGTACTTGTCAAAATACTTATATAATCTTGCCAATATAATCCATGTATGGTATATACTAACATTGGGGGTATATTGATGGTAAATGTTACCATATATAGCATACATGGTCCTATGGGTTATATTCTCACGGGTATACTTGAAATACCACGGCTAGCTTCATTCCAAAGCCATCAGCCAGGTGTGGTCCCCTTGGGGACCAACTCCTTGACGATTCCGCTGGACACCTACCACAATCAGTTCACTCACTTCGTGGTCTACACGAGATCAGTGGCCTATGAGCAGACCACACCTGTAGGTGGACAGCTCAATGGTGCGACAATTCAGGACCCAGGATCAAACACTTTGAAAAATCAAACATTGCTGTATCTCCTTGTATCATTGATTCCCCAGCCAGAGTACACTTTGTTGGGAGTATTTAGAAAATCCTGGATCGACATTCCAAACTATAGTTGGATCATCTCAGTCTTTGCTACACCCCAGGTGTCGAGATCTACGACCACGACGGATTGGTGACCAACTTGTATTTCAGCGGCTTGGACGAGTCAACTGCGATCAAGCGATCCCAGTCAGGCAGTTTCATGGGTGAGTTTGTTCTTTTTATATGTTTTGTTGTCTGATAACTGCTTTGTATTTGTACTGAAAAATAATAGTAGTACCCCAAGCATTGACAAATTATTTAGTAATTATACATATATATATATACATATGTATACATATATATATATATATGTATACATATTTTTTTGGTAATTTACCATACTATATAATAGTACCCAAATCATTGACAATGTGAGTTTATGTCGGGTTTACTATCTCTATTCCACCTGTTGATTTATCCCACCTAGGTGTTTGACATGTTCATGGTCTGGGGAGGTTGATCAGAAGCATCCCAAATGCAGAGTTTGCGCAACAAAATATGCAAGTCAAGCTACCATACGTAGGCAACACAACTGCAGGATGTGCAATGTTGAAATATGTTAGAATAGTTAACCTATTGGATGTGATCCAAGTGTTCAATCTATTTCAGGATGGATATATGGAACTTGCATCAATGTTGGTTTGGTTTCTTAGCCTAAATTCACCCCTCCCCAGCACTGGAGGCCCGGGATTCGTGTTTTTAATGCTGACGATCATGGCCAATTCTCACCTGGTGCTTTTGAGGAGCAGAAGCTCAGTATAGCCTTTGATGAAACAAGATGTTTTACCATGGTGATATGGCTATTGTCAAAAATGTAAACTCCACAAACTGGATCTTACCATGGATGGTTTATGGACAATTACTACAGCACTTCTGACAACATGGGCTCAAGAGCATCCCCCATATTTTTGATCAACATAGGATGCTTCAAATTCTTCAAATGGTTCGTTGATATTTTTCATACCAGACATGACCCCAAAAACGCGGGTGAAATTGTTCATAGAATTGGATGATGGGAAAAAATACAGGAAAGCCTTATATTTGATGGTAAAAACCATGGTTTCCTGTAGATTTTCCCTTAAACCAATCCGTTGAATTTTGGTACCTCAATGATTTAACCCTTTTGGCCTTTTGTACCGGGCCAAGGTGACACGGACTTGGATTTGAACATGATTGGAGGCGCGGAACTGGAATCGGCGACGGTTAACTGGATATAGTCCTATAGTTGTTTCGGCTTTGGCCCCGATTTTGGGGGCTATCCTATACCCCATAGGATCCATGGTGCTGGTATATTTGCTAACATAAAGGGGGTATATTGATGGTAAATGTTACCATATATAGCAGCACCATGGATCCTATGGGTACCCTATACAACTGTATTATACATATGATTACTGGGATGATCCTCCAACTACTCTAGTGCTTGCCATAGATATCCTGAGGCGTAGCTCAATACTTAGTGTTTTTAGTGAAACCCCCATGAGGAGTAGTTTAGTGGATGGCTTTGTCTTTACTTGATTCTTTTGCCGTAGATGGGTTTGGCAGAAAATAGGCTACCCCATTCCATCCACTGATTAGTCATTATATGTTTCCCCGGTAAGATATTGCCGTAACTGTTGGCTGTACCCCATGTTGAGACAAAGGCAGATGGGGGAATACACAAATTACCGTAAGTTACCTACAGTGTCCAGCTACTTGTGCTACTTTTCCAGGACAAGATCTGGCAACGAAAAATTAACCATATATCGACAATCTTTGGGTTGTTAAGTGACCATATCAAATGAGTCTTTGGTGAACATTAGTGACCTCAAACGATTGGATTTACGGATGGGTCACTTTGGGCCAAAGAGGACGATACCTTTCAAATGATGATTTCATATTGTATTTCGATGGCTAAATACATCTCTTTTGAGTGGAGCAGATTTGGCCGCTTTGAGGGTTTTGTGCACTAGCTGGAACAAGTCTGATCGAGCCAGGAAGCCCGGCCCCAAATAATTCTAAATCCACATCCTCATTTTTTTTTACAGCAACAAGTTGACCATCTTTCCGCTGATTGGGATTGCCACAGTGCCCACTCGCCATATTCAGTGGCTTGGATATTCATGAACCAAATCAATGGCAAATCAGTAGTTGGAGTGTCCATCAACCTCAATATTCGGCTTGGCCGCCATACAAACACTTTTCATCAACCATCCATTTCAAGATTATTTTAGGCGGATAGAATTTTGTCATATCATTTCCAACTCTTCTGGACCCAATCTCAAGCCCATCACCGTCCCAGGGGTTCTGCAATGGACCTTACCATCCGACACCTCCGGGGTTTTGCAGTACAACGTGTACCTCACGTCACTGGGCTTGGGGGGCCGGGGCTGGTGGCTGATGGCAAGATCCACCATGGACCATGATATGGTACAACAGACTACAACAGACTACGACAGACCTGACTACAACAGACTAACGAGTTTTAAAGAAGTTGCTGGGTATTTAAGATTCGTCATGACTTGTGTTAATGTGTGTTAATGGGATTCAGAGGACTACACGTGTTTTGTTGAGCAAAATGTGCGATACACCCCTACCATTCGTATGTGTGCGTGTGCGTTACTGATTTTGGGTTGCAAAGGTCATTGTTTTGGTTGGCATATGTTGCTTTTCTGGTGGGCTAAATTCACACTTTTTGCCACAAAACGTTCCAGGGTCATTTGCGCATTTTGTGTTGGCAAGATGCACCGAACACCAGTCACCATCATAGCCCAGTCACCAGCATACTCCAGTCACCGGTATACCATGGTAGGGTACACATAGATCCCTATGCTTGGGGTATGTCAAATCCCATGGCGAAGTCATTCGTATCAGTGACTTCCCCATGTTTGATTCACAAAAGATTCACCAGTACAGATCTATCACCTCTGCTTGCTGGCGACCATAAATTCTCCCCAAATGTTTCTGGTTCAGAATTCATAGAAAACCTACAGAAACATGTATATAGAATTATAGAATTATATATAGATATGATATATTATAGATTTCATCTATTGTTTTCTATAGAAACTATCCACCACCAACAAAACTCCCAGGTTTTCCATAGGTTTTTGCCCCATGTTTCCCAGGTTCACATCGAATCCTTGGGATCCCTACTTCCGTCGCGATGCCCTGGAGCTTGCCTTGTCCCCCACGCTGACGCAAGCGACGGTGCCGGTGGGCACGTACGGAGTCCCAGGAGGATTCGTACGGAATGATGGTAAGGATTGGGGCAACTATATCCCAAAATAACATGTAAGGGTTCAGTGAGTTATAATATGTTATAATGTAGCCAGACACATAACACATATATATATATATACATATGATATATGATATATGATATATATATATAATATATATATAATATCTACTATATATATATGTATATGTATATTATGATAATTACTTATACTTATTTGATCCAAGTCATTTACTGGGAGAATTGTTTGTACAGTACTAGCAAAATGACAGTTGTTTCATCCAATTCACAGTTTTTATCATTCTGCCAAGCCCAGATTTTGCTGAACCCCTGAGCTGTTCAATTGGGGGGTACCAGTTCTGTGGTTTATGATAGTTTATTACTATCTGGAGTAGGTTGTTTTTCCAGGGGGTATTATATTCTTGGAAAATCGGACAAGATGGAAGTTGGAAATGTCATGCAATATGTGACACACCTTGCAAATATGAAAGTGCAGAAAGTTGCTAATAACAACTGGTCAGTATGGAAGTTTGGAAGTGGGACGATGTTGATGGATATTCTATATTCCTCCGTCATCATGTCCCATTTTTGAAGATTGATATTATCCCATGTTTTGGGCATGCAAAACCCCCATGAATCGTTGCTGAACACTTCCAGGTTTAATGTCTACGCCCCAGAAAAACCAACCCACATCGGACCCAAATCAAACGAGACTGGAAGATTATTTTCTCATTGGACATGTCCACTGTTTGGTTAATATAGTTCTTCCGGGAAGAAAACAAAGATCACAGGCCCAAGAGTGGATACAGTACATGGCATGTGACCGGTTCTATTTTTATGATTATACATTCTTCAATTTGACAACATGCTTTGATAACAAGGGTTATACAGTTTTAAAATATAAGAAAGTCAAATGACTTACGTCGTAATCTGGTAGCATGAATATAACAAACATTGTGATAGTTGTCTATGTCCTTCCTAGCGGCAAAAAAGTGACGTCCATTTTCCCAGCCGCACAAGATGGATGGTGCAGATGGTTGTTGGAAGCGCACCGCCCGGGGGTTCATTGATCTGGAGTTGACATTGATAAGGCATCAATGTCCAATTAATGTGTTAATAAATGTTGATAATGAATAGTTATTCATGATTTCTAATGTCAGTTCATCAATTGTCATCCATCATTAATAATAATATAGTATTGATAATAATAATAATCATAATCATCATCATCATCATCAATACATTATGTGTGCTGTGTGTCATCTTTCTTTTTCGCTTCTGCCAGAGTGTAGCTGTTGGTGAAACAACCAAAGGCTCTTGCTTCATCTTCACACATTGTGGCTCAAATGTACATCCAATTTCCAACTATGTTTCATTTCCAACCATGTGTCTTGCTTATTTTCCAGCAATCTTACCTTTGCAATGGCTTTGTTTTGATCATCAACTTAAGCATCGTGTTCCTATCCTATGGAATGACCATGTTCCAGGTAGATTTTCCCCCATTTCAGCCAATCTACCAATTTTTGAATGTACCGGCCCCATGTTTGTTGGGTGCGCGATCATTCTTTGTTTGCGGAAAGCAGTGCTTTGGTTTGGTTCATTCACAGCTAGAAAATCCTGTAGGTTAATCCCAGTTATGACTCGACAGAGAATTCACCCAGTTTTAGCAAAGCTTTTGTCAGGGATCATTCAGATCTCCTCGTGTCGGATAAACCATGCCTCAACAGATGTACTGATACTCAATTTATTGCTGGATAATACTTGTGTTAGACGGTCAAACAGCCATGGGGAATTCAACTCTAATTGTCGATTGTTTTACTCCTTCTCAAAATTTCTCATTTTTCTTTTGCTGTTTCTTAATTACCGTGTTTGTCTTTCCCCTACATTATTAAGATGTTCTGATAGTTTGGTTGGTTGGAATGACCTATCTTTTTCCAGCCCCAAAGAACGACAGTCCCTGGACCCGCCGAAACGCGGTCAGGTCCAAGCTAAGTGGCGACGGCATCGAGGAAGTAACCTGTAGCTTCACCGCGGCCGACACGGTGCGATATTTCCAGTGGCAGCGGGGGGGCAAGGAGTTGAGATTTTGACCGCTTTATTTTTTGGATGCGTTTTTCTAAAACATTTAATGGGGATTTAAGGGCTAAGTTTTTTTTTATGTGGATTTGAACGGGATGTTAATGGGGTGATATTTGGTTGTTCAATTGTCGTTTAATTATGAATGATGTGGTTCTTTAGTGCAGATGCGCAGGTACCTTCTCACCTCTTACCTCAGGTTACACTTCTCGATTTGTGCTACCTCAACAGCAGCGGACAGCACCTGGATTTTCCCTGCGCCAGGTGGTTTGATCTCGAAAAGGGTAGCTGCGGTTGCAGCAAAGTGAAAAGATGCAATGTGATGCAAACAAGTGAAAATTCAATGGAGCATTTGCACTCCCCCGTTGGACGTTCGTCAGGTCGTCCAACCTTTCAGCAGCTCAACCTACCCTTTCTCTTTCTTGACATGTGAGGCAAAAGGGGGTCGATTTGGCATCTCGGACCCATGGGCATCTCTTATCAGTATGTGCTGCATTTCCTTCAACTGACAAGATGACTGGAGTTCCAGGAGGCGGTCGCCCTCTAGTTTGAAGCGCCACACGTCGGCAATCTTGGCACCACTTGAACTCTCGGGGCAATGACACTCGGACTCCTTGAAGATGTTTACAGGTCAGAGTGCTATGATAGACCACTCCAAACTTCGTCCTGAAAATTGGAAACCTCAGTCCCTCTTCTTCTCTTTCTTCTACTTTCTCTATCAACACTGGTGGTAGCGGAACTTGGCGTATCTGATGCCAAAGCTCAGCTTCTTCTTCTGCAATCTTCAGCAATTCCTCCTCAATTCTTCGCTCCAAAGTTCCTTCAGCTGGGCTGGGACCACCTGAAGACCAGTCTGATGAACTGGATGTTTCGCCTTCAGGTTGGGAGAGCTGTTGGTGCTCCTCCCGGCCCCCTGGCGGGAGGCGGACCAGGTGTTCAGCTGAACTCCCCGACCCCAACTCACCGCCAGCGCCTCCAGCTTCTGGTTGTGTATTTTCTTGAATCTCTTCTCGATCTTCGCGCATGGGGAGACTTCGTCCTGGCTTCTCAGAAACTTCTTTGGGCTCCTGATAGCACATTCCTACTCCTACCTTCCATGCTCTCTGAAAAGAAGAGTGACCACGACGACCATGATCGTAAAAGCGGCCATCATGATTTGAAATTCTCGTTGACCCTCTTCTTCGTCTTCATCTTCTTCCTGACCTTTGGCTCCTGTCAGCATGGCCATGAAGATGACCAATCTGATGGCGTTGACCGCCTTTTCTCTTTTCTTTTCTGATTCTTCTTCCTCTGGACCATGGGCGTTAGACGGGCGCCGAACCAGGTCTCCTCCACCCGACTCTGCGTCGCCGTCTCGCCTAGCTGGGCGCCGAACCAGGTCTCCTCCACCCGACTCTGCGTCGCCAGCTCGGTCCGAGGATTTTGAGCTTCTGCCCATCCCCATCAATTCTTTCAAAGCTTCAAGTCGGTTGGCACTGACTGCCTTCGTCCCAACATCCGCCACCAAAGTCAGACCCTGCCATGTGATTCAAGCACCACAAGCCCTGTGAGATGGCTTGACGTGCATACGCTGCTTTCATTCTGAGGTGCCTTGTACGCCAGGAGCCTCCCTCCGACGTCATGATAGCGACCGCCGCTTGGCTGTCGCTCCAAGCGATCTTTTCAACTTCTTCATAGATCTCTTCAATGATCACTGAGATTGACTCAGCCGCTCCCATGGCCTCCACGATCTCGGCCAATTCCGATTCAGCAGTTGACAGGGTGATCACACTCTGTCGCCCTGACCTCCAAAAAATCGGAGAGTCATTGAACTTGATGACAAACGCTCCATGTGATTCTTCCCCAACTGGGGCGAAGGATGCGTCAGAAAACGCATTGACGGCAATGGGCTTTCCAGGGCTTTCATCATACTTCAACCCTTCTTCCTTTGTTTTCAGCAGATAGCCTTTCAGCTGTCTCGACACCTCCAAAACTGCGTCAGCTGATTTGGTGATGTTGGAGCCCATACGGCTAACTGCAAACATTAGATCTGGCCTGGTTCGCGTGACTAGCCACAATGCTTCTCCAACTTCTTTCTGACACTGCTTGATCTGTTCTGCTGTTGGCGGATCAGCAGTGGTTTCCATCAAGGATTGATCCCGAGAGATTGGGATTTTTCGTTCTTTGAGTCCATGTTCTTTGGAGAGGAGGTCAGAGATGTAGGATTCCTGAGTGACATACCACACCTCCCTTTCGTCCTCTGCCTTTCTTTCCTTCTTCACTTCCATCCCCAAGAACCGGACTGGATGTTCACCCACGTATTCGGGCTTGGAAGTAGCCCAGGTTTCTTCAAACTTGGCTTTGACTGCTTCGACCACATAGCTCGGACCAGTGACGAACAGATCATCAACATAGGACATCACTAGTCCTCGCATCATGCCATTGGTCATAGTGGGCTCCTCTTCCTCCCCCTGGACAGCTATCTTCCATAGGTTTGGCTCTGAATTCAGCTGCAGCAGAACCAAAACTTTCTCTTGACCATTCTCAAGAGCATGGATTCTGAAGTCTCTCATGGTTTGATCTCTCAGGAGACTCCACAGCCTTGGACTTCGCCTGAACCCATAGACAGCCTTGAGTGGTTGATAAATCACGCCCTTCGGGACATAGTTCTTCTCCTGAAAAATCGGTGGAGGTTTGATGAGAATGAGGCCATCATCTTCTTGAACGCTCATGGCGGCATTCAAGAATGCCGTCTTTACATCAAGGGTGCAGGCTTGCCAGGACTCGAGCTGAGATCCATATCATGATGCGAAATGCTGCGGCATCTGCACCGCTGGAGTATGTGGATTCATCCTTTTTCTTTTCTTCAAAATTTCCACATGCAACCAGCCGCGCTTTCTTTCGGCCACCATCCATGCCTGGCTTCAAAGTGTACACCATTTTGGATGGGATACACTCGATCTTCTGCCCCTTCTCTTTTGCCTCCCTCTTCAACTCCTCAACCTCCTCTGGACTCAAAATCTTCAGTGCTCCTTTCTCTTCCACCAGCGAATGCACTTCTGCATTGATGGCTGGTAGCCAGTTGTGCCATTGGCTCGACACTTCTCGTGGAGAGATGATCCTTGTCTGAAGTACCTCTTCATGGTCTTCAGGCACTTCAATCATCTTTCTCAATGCTCCAATCAAAACCATCTCGTCCACAACGCTTTCTGGGTCATCGTCGACCATCTTCTTCATTTCTTCCTCGATGAGCTCGACGATCCGACTGTTTCTCTTCAAAACTTCATCTTTCCTATCTTCTTCTGGATCCTCAAACCCTTCCAACTTCTTGACCGTGGACTTGTCTCGCAACCTTCTCCGAACCGTCCAGGCATCCATCAATTCTCTTTCCAAAGCCAGCCACTGATTCTCATCCTCCGGCTCTGTTGTCATCCTCAAAATGCTTTTCGTCAGCCTGGGTGGATCTCCTTTTTTCACAACCCAGTGGCCATGTTCTTCTGGTGCTGGAGCCAAATACAAAACCTTTTCCACGCCGACCTCCATGCTTGATTTCTTCCATGATCTTTTCCTCACTCTCACTTCTTGCAGGAACCTCGGAAAGTCAGGCTTCTTGTCAAGCCTCACCAGACGATTCAACTCCCCGACATAGCGCAATGCCCAAGGCCACCATTCAGCTCCAACGTGTGCCTGTCGAAGTGCCTTTCTCACCTGGCATTTCACGGCCTTGACAGATGATTCGGCCCTTCCATTTCCTCGAGGGTCGTCTCCAGGGGTTCGAGTGACTATGATACCTCTGTCTCTGGCCCAGTTTCGGAAGTGTGTTCCGAATTCATGCCCTTGGTCGGTATGGATTCTGTTCACATGAAATCCATCTGCCTTCAACTTCAAGACGAACTCCATCGTAGTTTTGGCCACTTCACGTGACGTCTTTGTCACCATTGGCAAGCCCAGACGAAACACCCTCAATTCGGTTTCTTCAATGTCTGGGCCTTCGATCGCTGGGCCCGGCTGCTCTTCTTCCTTTTCTTCATGGCCAGGGGCTCCTGACGGGCGCCGAACCAGGTCTCCTCTACCCGACTCTGCGTCGCCGTCAGGGCCGGCTGGGCGCCGAACCAGGTCTCCTCCACCCGACTCTGCGTCACCAGCTTGGCCAGCTGGGGGCTCACCCGGGTCTCCTCCACCCAGGGCCTCACCAGCATCTTCAAGTTCTTCAGCAGCTCGAACCTCGATTTCTGGGGCGTCTTCTTCCAACTCCTCATCTGGGGGCTGCTTCATCTTCACCAATCCTTTGGGAAATCGCCATGTCATGGCTCCTACAAGCATGTATCGTGCTTGACCTCCACCTCTGTCGTACGCCTTCTTCAAGGGCCCTGCAACGTCAACTGACAAAGTGGCACCAAGAGGATATGGAATCTTCCTGTGTTGGTCGGAGATCTGCTGGCTTTCTTGGCACACTCTGCAGTCTCTCCTGTGAGGTATGTGTCCAAACATCACATGTTCGCTCCATGACAGTTCTCGCAGCTTTGGTGTTTTGTGGTAAACTTGTTCCATCAAGGCAGATGCCACCATTGACATCACTCCTGGGCCCCACCTCGCAAGCTGCTTTGAGTCAGATACCTTTCCAGAACTTCTTCCTTTCTTCATTTGATGACCTTCCACATCCAGTTTCAACGTCCCTCCAAAGGTCGTTGGTTTGGTGGAAAGTCCTCCAAGACGTCCCTGCTCAAAAGTTTCTTCGGTGAAGCCAAATTCTCGCTTCAAGGCTTCCCACTCTTTAGTGTCCCAAAAGCTGACAACCTCCTTGTTGTATGCCTTTGGGGACGCAGGCTGCTCCAGGCTGAACTGCACTTCCTGCTCAATGCCTCGAGCTTTGGCCACATAGTGAGAGACCATGTACAAGAACACCATCCTCCAAAGCAAGACGTCATCTTCCAAAAGGATCTTGGCTTCGGCCTGAGTTAGATCAGACTTCCCATATTCACCTCCTCCCCACTCTCTGATAGGTCTTGGTGCATCAGGGCGTCCTTCTATCGGCCGATGTCGGAGAACACTTCTCGAGCGGCAGTTCGGTCCTCTCACAATCGCTTTGATCTTCCCTTCAAGGGCACATCTAAGCAGCCCTGAGTATGCTCCTTTGTCTCGGAGCAGGTCATGTCCTTCTCCTCTCTGAATGTCAAGCTCAAGCAACCAACCTTCCTTTGCTCCAAGTTGTTGTAGAGCCCTCGCCAGTGTGAATCCTGTCGACTCACCGGCAAACATGTGAACTGCAAATCCTTCTCGCCTCATCATCTTCCTCAATCTTCTATTCACCGGAAGATCTGCCCATTCTCCTGGTGATACTACAAGTCGCTCTTTCACCCAGCCTGGAAGAGAAGCCAAAACTGGATGGCTTTCGATCAATGACTTCATCCATGTCACCTCAGCCTCAAAACCTTGAACTTGTTGAGGGATACCCATTTTGACATCCTCCATTTCTCTGATGAGCTCCAACGCCAACTGTCTCGGAACTTGAGGGCATCGCTCCGAGCTCACAACAGGCAGTGCTCCTCGTTGAGGGTGGTGGACTTGAAGGCTTCCTCCCTTCCAGTCAATGGTGCAGTTGAGGACTTCTGCCAGAAGTCCCATAGGCACAATTGGCTGGACTCGACTGTTGGGAGAAATCATAGCTCCCCCTGGGCTCATCTTCAGTCTTGTAGTTGCCCCGTCAGCCAGGGCAACTTCGACCATGGCATAGTTCTCATCATTTTCGCTGTCTCTCAGAGGCCTCAGTGGATGTGTAGCTCCTGAGTCGATCAAACCCAAGACCGAGTTTGACGACATGCTCTGAAGTCGCAATGGCTTCAATCTCATAGCTTCAAGTTGTTGCTGAAGACGATCCATCACCTCGCTTCTGACGTCAGCTTCTTTTGTTGTCGGTGCGCTCACCGGCATAGAAGTCATAGTGCTCGATGTTGGATTCAAGGACTTCAGAACTTTGTTGGCCTCATCGATCAGGTCTTTCATAGCTGACTCCTGACTGGAGACTGAGGACGAGTCTGAATCCTTGGCACTGCTCTTTCCCTCCACTTCAACCTTCATCTGTCGCGGCTTCGGGGGGCTTCCTTCACTTCCATTTGCAGGGATCTTAGGTCTTGAGCATGACGGTGCAAAGTGCTCTGGACTGCCGCAGACGTAGCACCGCTTCTTCTCATCTTTGAGCTCATGGGAGAAGGAGCACTCTCGCCCTTTCCTACACCCTTGATCTGTGAGAAAGAAACGGCATTTGGCCTTTCCTGACTCCTCCTCGTGTGACCTCTCTGACCTGTCTTTTCCTTTCCCTTTGCCTTTCTCGCTTTTCTCAGCCTCCAGACTCTTCAGCTTCACTGCTTCGTTTCTGTTGTTGCCTGTTCCTGCCTTCTTCTCTGTCAGCGATGCTTGTTCGAACTCCGCCAACAAGTGTGTGGCTAATTGGCCAACATTGGTCTCTGTAGGGGTTGTGTCTACCCCCAAGGTCGATCTTGCAAGGGACACTCTAAATTTAAGGTCTTTGTGAGCATCCAAAACTCGCCTGGTCATTCTGTTCAGGCCCTTCAGAAGAAGGGCTGGGTCTGGAGCTATGGCCCCAATCTCCTGCGTCCTTGATCTCCACCTCATCCATCGTCTCAAGGCATTTGGCGCCTCGCTCAACACAGTGACCTCTGCTGGCTCCTCAAGACTTTTCAGCAGAGTCTGTTTCTCCATAACTCCTCCAGGGCAGTAGACGAGGTAGAGATGGGTTAGGACTCCAAAAACGTCCAACCTCCTCGATGCAATCAGCTCTTCTCTAACATTTTCTGTGACACTTTGCAACAGCATGGACGACATCCTCCGTTCAAGTCTCTGCCATCGTTCTTGTTGCAAAGATGACGGAGGCGTTGCAGCATGTTGAAGTCGTTGAATGGGGTTCATAGCCATGTGCTGTTGATACCATTCTTCTGTTGACTTGGTCATAAGTTGCCACCACTCCTCACTTGTTGTGGTGAGATCAGACACCACTGGTCCCAACAGCAACAGCCAGTCCCCCAGCTGCAACGGTCCCTGCGAAGGATTCCAGGCAGGAAGTAGTGGGAGATCTGGACCTCCATGACGAATGACTTCAACGCCTTTCACCGTTCCAGCGTCTTCCCTTCCCTCCTGTACCTTCTTTTGAAGCTCCCTCATAGTTTCAACCATCAACACCATGAACTCCATGTTCTTTTGGGCTATGGGATCGGTTCCATACGCTTTTTCTTGTTGGCCTCTGGGCCCGTCCTCAGCTTCTGTGGTGGTCTCAGCCTCCTTGAAACCTTGCTGGCCTCTGGGCCCATCCTCCTGCACTTTCGTGGGGGTCTCAGCCTCCTTGAAACCTTTCTGTGGTTGACCTGACAAATGGGGGTCTGCAGCCTCCTTTCTTGGTGGCTGCACTTCATCGACACCCTTCTGACTTTCAGGGGTTGAAAAACGTGGCTCATCCAAAACTTTCGATTCCAACTGAGCTAGCCTACCTTTCAACAGCCTGTTCTCTTCTAAAACCATCTCCATATTCCTTCTGATTTCTTCAGCTTCCATTCGTTCTTGAAACTGCCTACTTCTCACAAACTGTGATCCTACATCTTCTTCTGTCGGCAGAAATGCAGGACGTGTCACCTGTGGTGTGATTCCCATGGTCATGCCACCATAGAGCCAAGGAGCTTGGTTGTGCAGTCTCAACAACTGGGCAACTTGCTCATCGGTGAACAATGGGGTTTGCACACTGACAGGTGGTGTTGGACCGGGTGTGACGTTTGGTCCATTTGGGCTAGCTGATCTCAAAACTTCAGACACCACATCTTCCCTGATTGGATCTTCCAAGGAACCTCGAGGGTGATGTCCAGAACCATCATCTTGCAAAGCTCGTGGCACCTGAGTTTCCTTAGGAACCGGGGTTTTCATCTCAGCCTGCACAAACTCCTCAGGAGGGTTGACAGGTGGTTGGCTAGGACGACACAAGGACTTCGGTGAACCAGCAGGCATCGCTGCCGGTGAGGGCTGACTAGATTTCCTATCTCTATCTTCACTTCCCTTTGGAGTCTGACGAGACTTAGAAACCTTTGCCTCTTCCCCTTGTTTCTCCTTGACATCTTCTATGGGAACCTCACCTCTTTCTAAGGCCTCAGTTGCCATTCTTTCCTGCGCACTTCTTATCTCTGCTTCGCCCTGAGCAAGCTCCTCAGGCGTAGCTCGTCTTCTTCTCATCTGAGTACTCATCTTGAACCGCTTGGGCTCATAACCTGCAGATGCGCAGGTACCTTCTCACCTCTTACCTCAGGTTACACTTCTCGATTTGTGCTACCTCAACAGCAGCGGACAGCACCTGGATTTTCCCTGCGCCAGGTGGTTTGATCTCGAAAAGGGTAGCTGCGGTTGCAGCAAAGTGAAAAGATGCAATGTGATGCAAACAAGTGAAAACTCAATGGAGCATTTGCATTTAGCAACGTCCTACAAGTTCAGACACCCTGCCTGTATCTGAAGCACTGGGGACTGGTGACAATTTAACTACAACAATTAGCGCGAATATGTGGGGATATGTGGTCATGTCATGTCATACCCTACCATTACTATCGACTAATATCGACTAGAATTCTTCGTGTGACTCTATGTACTTAAAATCTATTTATCGATATTTATTGATCAAACTGGTGATGATTACTTGAACGTGGACAAGGGGAAAAATGATCAACTCTTCAAAATGGTGATTTTACTGCTATGATTTTTCGTCGGGTCATGCTGGGTCACTTGGTAGCCCAAGTTTGGCCCGATGGTCCCGAGCGATGTGGGAAACACGTTTGGCTCTAAAAACCATGGATGACAGTGTGTTGGAACTATAATCCCAATGGATAGTAATGATATCATGATATCATATGCATGGATGATAATGACATGGACTATAATATATGATGATATCCTACGGACTATAATGATATCATATGATATCTAATTTCCGTATTTTTGTCCGTAGGCTTAAGCATCAAACAATGTATCTTTGAAGCATGAAACGTGGAATTGAATTGTGCGAGTGTACAATACACCCAACCAACGTTTCTTTGCAACTGGTGAATTGCAACAAAACAGTGGGATGTTTGGCTTATCTTCATGTTATCAGCAAAAAAATAGGAATGTTATCAGCAACGAAGCTGTGTGAAGTGACTGGTTGATGGCAAAATTCACCCACATAAATATGACAAGTTACCAAAACATGGAGGTCGGTGGCCCGGCAGCTCCGGCCAATCGCAGATCGTGAGCGTTTTCTACAATGGAAACGACATCTCCTACTCTGTGAATGGAACCTTCTCGGAAGCTTGGTTGAGGGTTGCTATGTGAGGCTAACCTGATGTGGGGATGGGTCAAAACCCTATCCCCCTGGTGAACATCAAAATAGCTGGTAAATGGATGTTCATCCCCCTAAAAATGGTATTAATAGGTATTGATCCATACCCATGTGTATGTGCTAAAATATATATTTTCACGAGCAGGATAACAACTCCTTACTGACCAAACGCCAGGACTCTTTTGGAATCCGAGTAGATCACCGAATCGGTTTGTGGTTTTTAGATTGTTTTTTTTTTTCCATCCCTTGCGGAAACCATGATGCTAATTCATTATTAATAGTGGTCAAAGGACAAACTACCAACCAGTTCATGACTATCCTTGAAACGCATCCCACACATCCCCCTGAAAACCTATACAACATTCAAACTTTGAAACTTTGGTCGTTTGTTGGTGGGTGAGATACAATGCAGGGCAGTTGTTTCAACCAATTTTCGCTGCTGATGTTGGGCCGAATCCAGAGCATCTTTCAGTGATCTCAGCGGTTCAACATTGGGCACTTGGGTGCTGAATGCGATTCTAGCAGATAACACTGTCAAACTGTAGATGTTGCGGTTTACCTTCCGATCTAGACCAACAAAAACATCCCATCTCAAATAGGTTGAATATTAGATTTGTAGATCTTGCCTAACTTACACATGTTGCCCATTTTCGGTGGGTTAAGTATCTACACTTCACATGGGGCCCTCTCGATTCCCACCGCCAGGAATGGTCGAGCACTAAGACCCTAGCCTTTCAGAAGGCGGACTTTGGGATGTGGAGATATGGGATATCTGATAGTATTCCTAGGGATTCAATGCCATTCATAAAGAGTGATTCATAGAGATTTAACCAACAGACATTGGGATATTAATGGGAATTAGCCTCCAGTGAGCTAACATTGGCCATGTTTTATAGACAAATCATCTACAAATGGTTCATCTTCATGGCTACGGTAAATTTCCAGAGGGTACATGATTGGTTTTGCAGATTTAGACCTTCCAAACTCCCAGTGGGATATGAAAATCCAATGGGTACCATAGACTCAAATTTGGTCTTGGAAAAACATATAGTGACCTCGCCTTTTTAAAACACCATATAGATATGTTTTAGTCACCAAGATCTCAAAAAACCGTGGGATTTCGCGTGGCGCTGCAGGTGCCTGGCGCCTATTTGGTGATCACGGCCAGTAGCTTGTTGGACCAGAGCCACGCCCTGAGATCCTGGGGATTTCGAGGTTTTGGGGCTGTGTCCTCTACACCATGGTCTAAGTCTATAAGTAAAAAAAATGAACTTTTTTTAATGGGTAATCTAACATTTTTAATGGGTAAACTAACATAGCAAAGAAACTTTAATTGATGGTTGATGGTTGATTTGAGATTTGTCGATTTTGCAGTTGATGCCTCCGCTAAAGCGGACCGCATTTGAACAGAATAGCTTGGAAATATTGGCTCCGGCCTGAAGCACGACTGTCAGAAATTGAAGGAGACAATTCTGGATGTTGGGAGATGTACGGCAAACTTTCTGCATTGTAAAAAGGGTGAACATTTTGTCTCTTGTGTTTTCTTTTTTGTGTAGCTATGGCATTTAGAAACCGAACTGGTTGCTGCAGCCTTTCCTCTCATGTTGATGTTTGAGACGACTTCCTGTCTGGAAAGTCGCCCTGGCCACCCGCAGGGTGCCAAGGTAACAAAGCCGAACGAAGCCTTGCTTTGTATTGATGGAAATTCCCTGGGATGACGATGACAATCTACACACGGTGGCTCCCAGCCTGTCCATGAAAGACGTTTAGCTTGTTTGGTGATCATGGTAATTTATACACAACCACTAAATTCAAGTTAATATTTCAGCAGGGTAGCTGGGAACCAACTAGTACCTCACTATTTTTTGACACTAGATATAGATTCATCACTTCAGCGCGCCCAGGTTGGTGCTCAGCCAGCGAGAACATTTGCATTGCCGGAAGGTTTGGTCAAGGCTGGTTGTTGTGGGAACTAAGCAAATCCCAGTTGACAGTCACTCTTTGTATACCAGCAAGTTACAACCAGACTTGATGGGTATTGATTGATGATATAGAGAACAGCAATAATTTAAGCGATTCTTCGACACGACTCGCATGGTACTACAACAAACGTCGGGTTTTGTTTGACATCACACCACCACTTCAAGACAATCTTCAACATCCATTCAGACTCATTGAGGGCGATTTTTCAAATCCAAGTGGGGGTGACTACCCATCTTGTGGGATGACGAATAGGAGTAAAAGCAAGAGTTTGAAGCTATTAACTTCCCGTGGGATGACTATCGAGACTGAACTTAGCACCCATTTCCATCCATTTCCCCATTGTCCATTTCTTGGGTATGAAAAAAGGGCACCTCCCCAGTTCCCATCCCTGCCGCTGCCGCAGTCTTGAACTACTGCTCCATGGCGGGCTTCAGCATCGTTTGTTCCGATGGCACCACTGCGGGCAGTGCTGGATGGGAGGCGGGGATGGTGCATGTGTTGAGCCTATATCCCATACGCATCCATATGATTCCATATGCTCATGCAACAGTAATGTTGATGTGTATTTGATTTTATTCGAACCCCCATTTCTTTCGTGGTTGAATCAGTTAAATCCTCAGCTTTGCATGGTTGATGGCTAATTTCTGATCGTTGCTGATATTCCCCTTGTTGCCAGCAACTATGAGGCTTATGGCTCCAGTAGCGGAGTGGATTCAAGCCATCAGGCGAGACAGTGGACGAGCCGGTGACTTAACATAGCTATGGAATCTATGAAAAATAGTCCATTTACAGATGGTTTACCTGTGAAAACATGGTGATGTTCCCATAGCTATGTTTGATTGCCAGAGGGGAATTCAGTAGGGGGCCAGCTGATTTAACTTCCTCATAGTGAATAGAAATAGGGTTTATAGTTGACGATTAACTCCTTAAACATACTATATAGGGGTTGATCATAATGTTCATGGCCATTTAATAGGACACCCGTGAAGACAGGTCTAATCATCATGTTCAGATGCCACCAGCAGCCAACCCATGGGAAGATCTGCAGAAACATCGGAAAGCCAGGCTGGACTGGGAACTGGCTGGAGCACCACCTGCGTCTCGCAGTCGGGTTTCTATCTGTCAGCCCTGGCATGGTTGGAGGAGGTCTGGGGGACTCTCGGAGGATCTTGGTTGGGTATTTGAATACTGGGTACGACCCAGCTCAAAGGGGTTTCAACTGCAGTATGAATCTTGGGCTTTGGGACGGAAGATGCATCATTGTTCAAGGGATGTGGTCAGCCGGCCAGCTGTTTGACAATGCAACGGGCTCCCAGTTTCGCCTATCTTCCAGTGGGTTTCAGGGGTTACTTTTGCGGGGCCAAATGTGTCCACTAAATTGATCAATTTTGGCAATACTTCAAATTTTAATATGTTTTCAATATTTTTCAATGAAGTTTTCCTATTAAACATCCCCTCTTTGGAGCCAATATGATCACCTTTTCATTGACCCATACTCACCTTGCCCACACCTTTTTCTTGGGGCCCCTCTCTCCTGACCAGCGACGCCAGGGTATCCGATTCCAAAACGGACAAGGCCTGGGTGTCGTCCGGCCTGCAACACGCCGCCTTCCGACCTTTGGAGAAATGGCAGGTTCTGGTGGAACGAGTGGAATCCAACAGCTCAGGGGGATATAATAGTGATTCTAATAGTGACTATAATAGTGGTTAATAGTGTATCTACCATCAGAAACTGATGTTGGATGTTTTTTGACAAGGCATTCTGAAGCGACGGAAAATGATGAAATTTCAAGTTCGACCATATTGGGTCGAGTTACCAAGGGAAGTGACGCCTGATGTGTGGCATGATTTGTTGTGTTTGAACGGTGGAACACTAATTTGTGGATCCACGCGAGCTAAGGACTGTTGAGTGGAGCGTTGTCGCCCACACGTCGGGGAGCCAAAATGGCTAATTCAATACTGAGTGTTTTAGGAGTCGAAGTTTCACGAGCCAAAAAATAGAATATGATCAAACGGTATATCATGTCCCCTGAACTGAACTCGTTGTGGATGTGTCTTTTTTTGTTGAAATGGTGTTGATATATTTTGGCCAACTATAGCATTTTTTGTTGGATGTGCAGATGTTACTCATTGCTGTCAGAGGCATTGTGTCGTGGACCCGTTGTTACCAACCGGTGACTCATGTTTAACAGAAATCCTAACTGGATTTGGTACTAGGATGATCCTTGCTGTTGGCCAGTGGCTGGTGACTGGGTAACAATTCTAGCTGCTTGGAAAATAATCACATCAAATGTGATCACTGTTATGAGAACAACATATTCAAAAAATATTCTAATATATTCCTAACATAGTCTAACATATTCTAACACATTCCTAACATATTCTAACATATTCTAACATATTCTAACTTTCTATAAGGAATGGTTAGCCATAATTCTTTTAATCCAAATCGAACTGGTCCAACTGGAACGCCTTGGGATATACTCCGGTGAAAGCGCAGAGTATCCCAGCAACGCTTAGACCACCACCAGAGAGAAGGAGTCCTCAAAAGATCAGGACATCCCATGAATGAGGGTCACAGCCACCAGTTTTGGGCTACAGTTACTGTACATCAAAAAATGATGGTCCCTATGGATGATCATCACAGTGGATGGTCCCAGGCAACGAGACATATACGCACTTCATGGTCTACGCGCAATCCACGCTGGCTGAGTACCGATCTGAGTTCTGACACGCTTGGTCCTCATTGGTGCCATGATAACGAGTCTATGTTACAAGGGTTGTGCCTGGCTTTTAAGGCTTCAAGGCCATGCTTAATCTAAGAGTCCTTGAAAAAATATGACTGCGACAGAAGCTCGTTAAGCGTCATGGAAAGACTACTGTACCTTCGAAAAGCAGAAATCTAACATAGGCCATGAACAGTATCATCAGTATCAAGTTCAAGTCAGCTCCAGGAAACTGACACACATATGCGAAATCCATTAATTAAAATCCATGTCATGTGCCATTCTTTTCGGGAAACCATCCATTACGGCCAACAAATGGTATAAATGGATGTTTGTTTCAGTGTTTCTGCCAGAGAAGGGCAGCCACCCTTGGCCAAAATGGTTATGATTCCAATCTTCTTACCCCTGGTCATCGGAGGTATCAAGAAAATCCAAGACATGTGATTTAGTGATTGTTTTTTGCAGTACTGAGAAATCAATAAGATTGTAAGTTCTGCCATTTCTCATGTTTTCAAAGAGTCCAGACTCTATCATGCATGTTTTGTTGCCTATGTGTTGAACGGTTTGGGTGTGGTTTGAAGTCTAGTGGAAGTGGGAACAATATGGAACAATGACCAACCGCAAGCAGGCGGTGGATATGACCAGTAGACATCAGTAGACACGGGGTGTTCCGCACTGTTCTGTCGCTGAGGCAGACCACGCCTGCTACTCTGCAGATGGTTGATCGTTTGCGGCTTAGTGGGTCGAGAACTGAAACAGGATGTAACAATGGCCGATGACAAAAAGGATGGGGACTGATTTTTCTACAAACAACTCTACTCAAAAACTGCAGGAGATATAGGATACCTAATCACTTCCAAATCAAATTGTTTGCCCAATGTGGTTGCCCAAAATCCACTAATTATATATGTTTTGCTTTGTCTTGGAGTTTCACAACTCAAAAGTGAAGTTGGACAGACTGACCCTCAAACAACTTTCACGCCTGTCATCATGGAAGCAGGAAGTGCTTCTGGGCGAGTTTTCAAGTTTGGACGGGCCTTCAAGCCTTTCAAGTTTGGCTACAGCCGCATTTTTATTGTTTCTATATATACCGATTACCATGCTGATGTGCAGTTTGTTGGCATCTAACTGGCATTTGCCCTGGTGAAACGTTGAAGAAACGACGTTTGATGATGTTTGATGATGTTTAGGAGAGTGTTTAGTTTAATCATCCATTACCTATGATTAATTCATGATTACTTTGATGATCTTGAACTCATCCTGCTAAAATTTGGGCCAGGAATCCTCCAAGCAGAGGCCATTTTTCCCATTGGGATCACCCTAAAGTGGCGCCCAGATGTGGCCTACGTGGATTACCTGCGCTTTGTGGATGAGGATGGAAGGGATGCATTGATCATGGGAGTTACGAAGCTATAAAGATGTGCTTTTAACGGATATGGGCTGATGTTATTACTTGGAAATTGATGGTTTCAGACTAGATATATCTAGATATGACTTTAGAATCAAGTTTGGTTGTCCGAATTCATCGTCTTGCTAGTGGAATCCACATTTCAGTGAGTTCGTTCACTTGCTTTTTGGCAGACACTGCTACATTCCCAAACTTTAAAAAAACAAATGCACAGGAACCTCTTGGATTTTGGGGAAAATAACATATACAGTGCTTTCATACAATACTTTGATCCCAGGTATAGGAAAGGTAAAATCCTCGCTGGTGGTGTTTGAGGTATTTTGGTGGATAAAATCATTCTTTGAACCATGCTTCCTTTGTCATAAATGTCCTTTGAAAAGACGGGTGACCACCTCCATTGTCTATAGCCTTTATCGGCAGATGTTACAATGGTACTAACCCCAACAAATATATACATAAAAAAAACACATCATCACAAGAACCTAGTAGGATTTTACCAGTTTCTAACATCCTTAACTTCGGGGGTTTACTACAAGTGGCTAGAAACACTGTGCCATTAAGGCTTCCTCCCATGACCAGACCAGGACCTGGGTTTAGCCTCCATTGGGGGCGAACTCCGATGGAATGCCCTGGGCGATTTGACCCTGGCCTCAGGCTATTCAGTGGGGATCTCAGCAATTTTTTTGTTTACCAAAATAAAAACATGGCTTAATCCAGTGAGAACCATGGAATAAAACATGACCCTCTGGTTATGACTGTTACATAGCCATGGTTTTTCGATGGCCCATTGAAATAGATGATTTTCCCAGCTAGATACCTCCATTTATAAGGGATGTTCCATGGCTACGTTGAATAACCAGATGGTATATTAAATAGCCAACTACAGAATTACTAACTTAATGATGTGTTTTACTATTATTGAAGGCACTATCCATTGCTAAGCACTAGTTAGATCGATTAATTACACAGTACCATCTATTCCATCTAATTCCATGATCCTATCCATTTCTCAGTGACAGATTCATAGATTTACAGATTACTCTAATATTCACAAATTACTCCACTTTTACTATAGGGAATACTCATTCCAGTAACTCCACTTTCACTAGTTATATAGTGTTATATACTCATCTATATCATCCAATAGTTTGTGTATTCCCTATAGTCAATGGGAATTCCAGGATCCTAAAATGGAGGTACTGTACCATATAAGGCCATATTTTGTGGGGATATTCCCTTACATAGGCCTTATATAGGCTTTATATATGGTAGGTACCTCCCATTTAGGTTCCTGAAATGGCCACTGATTTAAATTCCATCATCCAAGATTCGAAAATTCCGAGATCCCTGGGATACCAGCTGGGATCCACCGAGATCTACGTGGCCACCGATTCCAGTGGCTCGGATCGCCTGCTGCTGGGCACCTCGCCGGTGGGGACCACCAGCTTGACGCTGCCGCAGGCCTTTCGAAGGGGTGCGGCACCACGTTAAGAATCTATGATCATCTAATATCCATTATATTATATATATATATATATTTTTATACATACATATTATACTTATGTAACTAGATATCGTTAATACAAAAATACGGTTTGTTTATGTATACCCTCTCATTATTTATCGGTTTGCGAACCGGCAAACCAACCTTTTTGAATAGGTAAATCAGCATGTGTATTATCTATAAATGGGCAGTGTTCCATAGCTATACTAAAGAGCCAGAGGGTATATATAAATATAAGCCGTTTTAGTATTTTAGAAATATATGCAATTGTATGTATAGATCATAGCTGGTACTAAGTCAGGTTGGACCAAGAGTGTATTTGTTGTCGGGGTTGACATATGCTAAACAATAAAATAATGTTAAACCTATTGTTAAAGTATTGGTTTTTAGAAGGAATATATTGATATGTTTGTCAAAAAACAAAATGGTGGTTGAATTGAAATTGAATTGAGATCAAACGATCCAAAGACTTGCTGGTGGTCTCAAAAAAAAGCACTGCTCTGCTTGGGAGATGTGAAAACCTGACGCGACGGTCTCATCGTGCAGGGAACGGCACTGACGGGGGATTTGAATTATACGCATGTGGTGATCTATATTGAGCACGGGATCCCAGTCAGCCCTGGGATGTTTGAAGAGGTGCGAGCTGTTTGAGGATTTCAAGTATATCATGATCTCATACATAAAAGTACTGTGTTGTTATATATAATTATATATATTTGTATATATATATATTGTATTATATCATAATAGAGTATGATACAGGTGTACTACTGTGCTTGTCTTACAATGCATATATCTTTGACGTGCCCTGATTTAGAAAGGTGTTTTAGGATGAGGGTGTTTGCCAGAATGGGTTGAATCCACCAACCCGCTTGTCATTGTTTTTACCCAACCTGGTCCCTTCCTCGGTGAGATTCAGGTAGAGAGAGGAACTTGATGAGTCAAATGGGGATGAGTCAAAACCTAAGAACTACTAGTAGCAAAACTAGCTATGAACGAGCATACCTGGCATTTTTTTGGGTGAACATCCATAAACCCCAACTATTTTGATGTGAAAGTGAGGGCATTCCATGGGTTTCGTTGACCCAGTTTGCCATGGCGAAAAATGACTCAGGTCGTATTTAGTGCAGCAGCGGTTACCTGCTTGGTCATTGCTGCTGGTGGCAGGGAGTCCTGGTGGTGGTTTTTCGCATTGGGACAGGTGGGGTGTGCTGATGGACATAACAAGGATGGTAAAGGTTTGCAAGTCAAAGTTTATGGTAGCCTTTTATTTGCAAATAAAAGGTTTATGGACTATCCAATAGTTTCATTGGAAATGAAGAGAAACCTTTTGCACAAGTTTGCGGAACATCTCAGACATGGATGAAGAGAACATATGATAAACAAATCATGCGTTGCTGTAGAATTTCCCCTAAACCCTTAACCAACCTCAAACAGTAGGGGCGAGTGTGGAGAGACGATCTTTTGGCGAGGGCGCCATTGGTTATGCCTCCGCGGCCAGTGGATCCTCCCAGATATCGAGGAGAACCGGGCCACCAGCAGCCCAAAGGCAACAGCAAAGGTGGCAGCCAAAGCCGCTCAGAGGTCACGGAGCAGCTGATGGCTTCGATGGCCACGACTTTGGTTGAAGAAATGATAGGCTTCATCCAAAAACAATTGTGGGAAGACATGGCCCAGGCTGGACCAAGATAGATGATGCAATCACTTTGTTGGATGATTGTATGATTTTGTTGTCTCTTGTTTCTTTGGCTATTTTAGGCAACAGGTACATCTCCGGCATAAAAAAATCAACCTCAAACGACAAAACTATGTTTTGAATTTCTAATGACTTGTCAAACTCATCTGCAGATGGAGTGGATTGTGATTGTAAGCCATGTTTTATGATATTTCAATTGCTTGAGAGTACAGAAGGTGCACAAGGAAGCCCTTGCAAATCTTTAAGAAGGCCCAGGGCTCCAATAAACTGCTTAGCCCCCTGTTACGGGTAGTGATAAGACCGTCATTCCCCGCTATTCTTAAGTTCTGTTTGCTTCAGCATTTGTTTGTTGTTTACACCCAGACTTTCCTGGTTCAATCTGAGTTTTTGCTGGGGAAAAAAACATGCGTTCTCAGTCCTCAAGCCAACGGAAATCTTGCTGAGGATGAGTACGAAGGCCTCTGTGATTCCACTGTGTGTGGATCTAGTGGGGGTCAACCGCGCCTCAGTTGCGATGGAGGGATCAACTGGTTGACAACTGGATGATAAACAGGGTACCCCTGGACCTTAGGAAACCCCCATTCAGAAAGGGAAGCTGACTGAGAACCACCATGTGGACGTGGATTGCCACATGATTTGGATCAACATCCCACTGGTTTCAGATTTCGGACCTTGGATGGTCGGTAGCCAATATTGCAACGAATCTGATGGGATGACACACCTGGTTTACTGGATGCCCATGTTTTGTTGGTGACTTCCCGCAGGGCTGCTGAATTCACCATGTTTTTTCAAAAAATCCAACATCTTTGTTGGCAAGAATATGCAAGAATCATTGGTGCAATTGCTGCAATCCTTGTTTTTTTCCAATTGTTTGGCTTCTTTTCGCTAGCGACACCTCTGATTTCTCGCTGGTGAAATCATGAAATTTCCCGCTTTGTGGTGGGCTTCCTGCGATGCCCAGGAAGTTGAGGACCAGTGTTGGCTCCTGCACCACAGCTGCCAGTGCACGGCTCAGTGGACTCCTAGAGTTTTTGGGGGTCGATAGCCTTGTTAAACCGACTGCTTGGGTTGCTGAATGGGTAACGATTTTTGAAATTGGCGGAAGAATATATCATTCTACCACATTCTGCCTAACATTCTACCACATTTGAGGCTCAAAAACATGTTTCCACCGAGAATCCGCCAAGATTCCAAACTGTTGGTGTCGGTTTTTCCCTCATCGAGGGCCGCCTCTTAGGTTGTGCCAATTGTGACCTCACTCCCACGCGTTGCGGCTCTCAGCAAGGAAGGTAATGCATCGCGACACATCATGACACATGGTGTCTGACATGGAATTGACCTGGAAATTAATGTGAGTTCATTTGTCTCCAGTGTTTATCGTATGGAACTGACAACACCAACATGAGGATCATTGTCGATTTCTTTGATGGCACCTCGGCTGTTTCTATATAATGCTTGTAGCATTCTAACTGCTTGTAGCCGATATGGATAGACAGATCACATCATGTCTTGGTTCTATTTCGGTGACTAGATAGTGAATCCTGATTTATGTTGGTTTACCCTTCCTGACTAAACCCATATCACCAAGCCTCTCTGGATATATCCGTTGGTCCGTTAGATTTGCTTCATATCCCAACTCTGTTCCGTTTGCTTGGTGTTGTTTGTTCCAGGTTTCAGACCCATTTTTGACGGAGTTTTTTGAGGTCCCAGAAGAGACAAGTGTTTGTTCCAGGATATGAAAAGTATGTGTAGTTATTCCATGTTATTCCTAATAAATTGTATACTATACAATATCCTGTGTCCAGCCCATAATAGGGGGTTGCTATGGCTATACAAGCAGGGCTGGCCCAGTTATGAGTTGCTATGTAAGCTCATCTAACTACAGAGACATCATCCATCGTAAATCCAAAAAAATCAGCAGTTTGCTTAGATATGTTTACCAACTTAGCTATCAGATAGCAGCTATCAATCAGCATTCTTCTCAAAATTGTTGCGGATTAAACCCACCACTTCTCTTGCTTTGATCCCAATGTCTGCTCATGAATTTCCTCCTTTTGATCCATGTCTGCTGATTAAATCTCATGTTTCATCAGTTTTAACCTCAGGATTTGGATCTAAAGCAATTTCTGAAGCCAGAAATCCACGTTTTTTTTCTCCCACGGGAACTGCGTTGCTCCTAGGTCTGGAAAGCATTACCACCACCATCCAGGGACCCATGGTGCTGATCACCACCGAGGCGGCCTTGGATCAAATGATGAACACGAAATATTCATTGGATTCTAATGGGATATTCATGGGATATATATGGATATATATATATAATATATACTATATATATATACTATATATATAGATGATGTACGATAATATATATATACATATATATATATATACACATATATATATATACATAGCCAGCAGGACTAATGTTGATGTTGCCAATTGAATCATGGCGGGTTGGCAACGAGGAGCTGCTGGAATAGGTTCCTTTTTTCGTACGAGGCAAACACCGACATCTTCGGCTTCTGGAACAAACTCTCCTCGCAGCTCGAACGGCAGTGGAATGGCGGGGGTGTCTCTCCCAACACCCCCAGATCTGGGGCGGAAAATCATGGAAAATCGCTAGATACAGAGGTAAACCATGGTAAAACTAGCATGTTTTTTTTTCAAACTGGCTATGATGCAATCATAGGAGTAACCCAAAAAATGATGCTCTGTATACCTAAATACAAACAGGCTGTGCCATGGTGATTTTTCTGTATCGCCGCCGTGCCATGGGGACGATGTGACTTTTCCCGCCTGATGTGACTTAAGCACGGCGCTCGTAGGAAATCCAACGTCATACACCGCCATGGCCCGGTACACCCATGAGAAATGCCTTCATCCGTGTTGATGGTCATGGTTAGACAGGGTTACAGTCTCTAGTACTGAAACTGGTTTTATTTTCTGAATGTTGTAGGTATTCAACAAACTATTCTAGTACTGAAACTGGTTTTTTCCCACTGACTCCTTATGTACCAACCAGTGGCTGCGGGGCAGGTTTCATGCGGGCACTGCGGAGTTTGATCACAAACGTGAGTGGAAAAAATGACCAGTACCAAATCACATATCAAAATAACAAAAATGACGAAAATCATCAAAAAAACTCAAAAATCAGAATCATCAAGAATGGCAAAACATCACCATGTTCCTTTTGCCAAGCTCTTCTACAGTGAAACTTCTGCGCTACTCCAGGTGTGGAGTCAGCACCTTAGATGTGCAGTACTACAAGGCACAGCTCAATGTGGCTGGTGCTGATCCTCTTGGGGTAGGTATGAACAATATCTGTAATTACCTGGGTATCTCAAGCAAGAGTACTACTTTGCGCACAGTTGTCTTAGTTTCTTGTCAAAGCAGTTTGTAATCAGTAGGGCATATCCGCTGGCAAATCCAAGTCATTCGATTTCAACTTGTTTGAAATCTTATCAGACTCATTTGCACCAGTTACAACCCAGTGATAAGCCCAAAAAATGGTGGTCATTTTATGTCGTTTTTCCCTGCGGTGTTGGCAGAAGGATTTGATCGTCACAGGCCTTGGGCCCTGCGGCTCCTGCAACGACTACGACGCAGAGCTATACCTGCCGTGGCTCCGGCTGAAGCCCTGCAGAGATGGGAATGGTAAAGGGGGAAACCATCCATTGTTGTAGTTTCATGATGGTTTTTTAGCATCAATATACACTGGATATGAATTAGACTGACTTGAAATGAATTATAAACATATATTTATATTTATACATATTTTATTTATACAGTAAGGGAAAGCATCCCCCTTATCCCGCGGGAACGGTTTATAAATTGGCCAGAGACGGTGAGGTGCAGCTAATCCACCAGGACTGCATGGAAGTCTCGGGGTGACATCTGATTCTAGGAGTTCAATTGGCAACAACGGGCATCATCCTAAGGACATTTTATTTCGGGTTCCGAAACAAACATATACAGTATACTGTGTATATATATATATATGTTAATCTGCCCAGAATGCGGAGGTTCCAAAGCTCTGTGCAGTAATTGCATAAAGACATATATACTGTGTATTCCAAAGACTCCAAAGTTCAGTTTCAGCGTATCAACGGCCAGTTGAGGTACCTGAAATGGAAGAGCATCAGCTAGCTGGCAAGGGGTTAACCACCACTGAACCAGTCCGGTTTGTCCAGTTTGCATCCGTATACAACTGTGTATACATACAGCTACATATGTTTATTTATTCTAAAATAACAATACTAGTAGGATATATATATATATATATACACATATTATATATAATAAGTACGTATTAGTAGATTCAATTTGTTAATAAATTTAACCCAAGTCTGTACAACCAGTTTCTATGGAAACCGTTGGTGCTTGCGCCCAATGGATGACCTCAGCGGCCAGGTTTCTCATGCCTTCCAGGGGCAGATTGTGGGGACCTCAAAGTATTCAAAGTGGCGAAATCTCACTTGGCAATGGGAACATCATAGAATTGATTGGTTTCATATAGATCATATATATATATAGATCAATGGATTGGTTTTGGTGGGAAAATCTTCACCGGAAACCCATGGTTCTTACCATTAAATATTAATGGGGCTTTCCTGTAAGATTTCCCCAACAAACCAATCCATTGAATAGAGTATTCATGGAATATTAATGGATAAAAAACGGGAAAACATCATATGACAACAAACTACAGTGATTATGTATTTATCTATTTTTATGTATATATAGATATACTCCATGATGAAACATGAATTATCATTGATTATCACTTGTAATAATAACAATGCAATGATACTGATCTTGAATGAGAAACCACATTTATACATTATATATATTTATAGAACATATTTTGATAGTCATAGTCTTTAAAATTATATAAATGTGTTTTTGTTGGTTGTGCAGAGTGCAGATTTATAGCTGTCCTTTTCCCACCCGAGGCTTGAAAGAAGAGGGACAAGAGGGATAAATAGGCCTTTGAACAACCAATAGGGGTGCAAATTGGATCAAAAAAGTATACCAACCTGCTCCTCTAAGTCTTTACGAAAAGGACATGGTTTGGCACTTTTGGTCGTGAATCAAAAGATGTTGGCAGGATAGTTTTGGGTACTATCACCTTCAGCAGGATGCAAGTTGCAAGGTTCAACAGCCAGCTTCTTAAACTTCCAAAATGCCTGCGTTTTCTGGGGACTTTTCCTCCAACAATTCTTTGGAACACGGTCCAGTCCCACTGGCTAATTAAGGACTAAACATGTCTTAGTCTGGAATCATCAGATATATAAACAAAACAGCTAGTTGTGCCTTTGTTGGTGACATCCACATGTCCACGAGAATGATTTCCCAATGCACGTGACTAACACATGCGGTTCCCAGGTTACCAGGTTTTTGCTCTCCGGTAATCTGAGATTGCCGGCTTTGAATGTCAGAGTGTATAACTCCCATGATTCACATCACTTAGTCACCCATGGTGTTCAAACCATGGTGACGTGTTGGTAGATCCTTTCAGATTTGTTGCTCCGCACTTTCATATATCGTTCCATGTATTTCCGTCAATAGTGCCCGCAATCTTGGCCTTGACATTCCTGTTCAGAGGTGGTTGAAACAACATTCTACAGGAATGCCCTAAATACAGATGATGCTGAAATATCCAGTCAGTATTACCCAATAGATGATATTAATGATGATATATTATGATTATTATTCTACAGGAACCCAATTCCGGTTTTGGGATTCGGGACAGCTGCCCCAGGTAACACCTGCGTCTCAGCAGACACCGCTCCGGTGACCACCAGCAGCGTGGATGACGACGGCTATTCGGTGTGGCGCTACTTGGCATGCCCGGATGCCCGGTGAAGCTGAGCTCAGCTCAGCTCCCACAAAAACTGCTGCTTCCCAGGGTCTGCCAGAAAATTTACTGGCGGGTAACCAATTATATAAAAGTGGGGATGCAGCCACAAGAATCACAACAATTTGGGTTTGATGGTTCTAACATGTTATAACAGCTGTTATAATGAATTTGAATATGTGTGGTGTATCTAAAGTTGGCTATGTGTGAGTCTCGGTTCTTCCTTTCACCAAGTTTCATAGAAAATACATAGAAGGACTAGTAGGTTATAGTTATCAATGAGTTGAAAAAAATATATCTTTTAAATCAGGACATCAACCAACCAGTAACAGATTCATGTACATCTGTGTAAATTATTATTGTGGTTGGTGGTTTGGAACATTATATATATATGTATTGTTCCATATATGGGAATAATCATCCCAATTGACTTTCATATTTTTCAGAGGGGTAGGTATACCACCAACCAGTACTATTATTACCATGATTTTTGCTATGATTTGGGCATGGCTTCATCTTGGATTTTCTGGACGGCTTAACAGGTCAAGTTTTAGCGATCTGGTGGAATTACATCGGATGAAATTAGCTCCAAAAGGCGCACTGCCGGCTGCAGCTGACACGGCATTGGACCTTGCAGCATTTGCAGTGCAAAACCCGTGGAGAGGAAATGGTTGCAGCACGGTCAGCATCTTTAACGACATACTACGGATCTACGGGCAGGGGTTGATGCTCAACAAGCCGGCGTGCCAGGGTGCCTCTGTCGTCCACAGCTGGAGCTTGTGCACGCGCTCACTGATACATGTAGCCATTGTTTCAATATTGGGTATTTGATACCCCCATTCTCTTCCAAATGGAGGAAAAGAAATGCACCATTTGGCACCTTTTTCGATTCGCCACACATTTCAGGACATGTCCTTTCCGATCTGCCAGGTGCCTTCCGTGGCATCTCGGGTCCAACCGATGCGGCCTGGGGCACTCAGTGGGATCCGACGTTTGGTGAATGGTATAGTGATATCGGCTGGCGGCAACAGGTTAAAATCTTGTACCGTATAGTCAGCCTTTTGTGTCATTGTTTGTTAGCTTTGGTATCCAAGATTAGCCATGTTGGGGAGTAAAGTAAATAGGACATTCCCAGTGTTGAGGTCCCCCATGGCTATAGAGTTGTGGATAGAACTTTTGAACATGGGAGGATGAGCAATGAAATGTTGGCAAAATAAGAAGAACCCCCAGCCTTTGGCACAATGGTTAGAACTAGATGTGGGGGTGTCTTAAAATAGATATACCCCTAAATCATCCATTTGACGAACGGATTTTCCATTGGGGATCACCGTTTTATGGAAACCACCATATCCAAAACATGGGTAGATAATTATCCAACATGGGTCAATGGTTGCCATCTATAGGATGTGAATGTTTTTTCAGACATGGTGTAACAGGCGATCTGTTTGAAATCCTGCTATTTGGAGGGGAACAGCCATGATTTCTGGCCTATCTGACTTGTGTGAATATTCTTGGGTGAGACGATCAGGTGCCGCAATCTTCCCAACAGGTGTCTACAACATTTCAACTTTTTAATCATCCTCTTGTAGTTGTTATAAATACGTAGAACATGTCAATCTCAGTGATACCTTCTGGTACTTTCACCTAGCTATGGATATCTCCCTTTTTAAGGTCGGTAAAGCGTCAAACTACATGCGCCATCTATTGATCATAGCTATGTAAGAAATGACTAGATGGTAAACCACCACCAAATCACCATTGATAGTGGTTAAATGGTTAAATCACCATAAAACCACCATTAAATCACCATCAAACATCCAACTGGATCCATGTTGCCAGGACTTGACGTACTCCTACGTCTTTTCCCAAGGAGTCTACATGGGCTCTGCCGCGGAGGCTCCAGTACCATCGGATCTTCAACTGTTTACGCACACACACAGACCTCAGTCTTCACTGAGAAGTATTTAAACGGTTTTAAAAATATGAAACTAAAACATCAACTAAATGTATCTAGATGATTAGATGATTGTTTTTCAAATCATGACTCAACATGCACCGTAGCTGCTGAAGCACCTGCAGGCTATGGCCACGGGTTGTGAGCCATACATCATGGCTGCTTGGCTCGCTTACAACCCTCGTTTTCCATTGGAAAAAGCGCAAGAAGAAAATGGGTGCGTGGCATCACATTCATTACCTTACATTGGCACATGATGGCACCTGTTTAATGGACCAATCTAGAAAGTTGGTGGATCTAGCCACCCAAGCACTGGCCCACTCGATGATTAGGCTTCCTTGAATGCCTGGTCACCTTGTAGCCATGGTCCCCGTAGGTCTTGACCCCCCGAATCCGCATGTTGCTCAATGTTGCTTAAACCAGCATGGTTGAGGGATTGTCATGTGTGGATATCTGTGGTGGTTTTACATGTCCTAGCGATCCCTACCCAACGTGTTTTTTCTTTTATTATACATTCATACAATCACATATATATATATATACATATACATATTCCATTTTTTGTTTAAATCCATATTGTTGGTTAGATATGTATTCTTGTTGGTCAAATATTCACCGCAACAAGCGCGAAAGAAACACCAGCAAGAAAACGAACTACTCAATTCTTGTCAATTCTTGTATGCTTTTCCACCGACCAATGTTTTGGATAAACCTGGGTAGTCTTACACTGTATTCCTTTGCCATGGCGGATTAACGTCATATCTAATTTTTCTTCACAATGAAGTGTATCCAACTAGATCCGAATATAAGATGTTTGCTAAACAAAGTGGCTGTGGTTCCTCTCTGTTTTGAAATACACCCAAGGGCCCCATTCTGTTGAGGCTGTGACATCTCAACCTCCCTTCGCAGTGAGCAACGTGAATGTTGGCTGCGTGGATTTGGTTCGGGATGCTCAGAGTCAGTAATTGGTGCAGGACTGGTGCGACAAATCATGGTTACCAGAAGTACCGCACAAGGCAGTGGCGGAAGTTTCAAAGATAGGAAACCTATAGGAGAGGTGTGTTGTTGTGATGCATGGATGGCAGAGCGAGCCCACTGATGGACCGAAAGGGGGCTGAGGCTCTGAGTCTCTCTCCATCTCTCTCTGTCTTTATCTGTCTTTATCTATCTATCTATCTGTTTGCCTGTCTATCTGTTTATCTCTCTGACTATCTATCTTGCCTCTCTCTCTCTCTCTCTCTCTGTCCATCTATCTGTCTGCCTGCCTGTCTGGCTGGCTGTCTGTCTGTGTCTGTTTGTGGGTGTGTCTCTCTCTCTCTCTCTCTGTCTCTGTGTCTCTCTGTCTCTGGCTCTCTGTCTCTCTGTCTCTCTACCTATCTGTCTATCTGTTTACCTGTCTACCTGTCTCTCTGTGTATCTGTCTGCCTGTCTACCTGTCTACTTGTCTAGCTATCTGTCTAGATTATCTAGATTATTGTCTATCCGTCGATCGATCGATCTATCCACCTATCTTTCTATCCATCTGCCTATCTGCTTATCTATCTAACACTTATACAACTATCTATTGAGGTCTGCCCCCGCCCACTAACAGTTCAAAACTGCCCCCCCTTCATAAACCACATACCAAAAAAGCAATCATATTGGTGGTAACTCAGGCCATTTTAGGGGATCCTTAGGGTCTGCTTAGGAGAAGATGTGATCTAGGTGGGCCGTACAAGTAACAAAGGGTGGAGTAGTGAATGCAACAACATCACTACCTTTGAGGTGGCATTGTTTGTGGTTAAACCATTTAAATCATTTTAACGAACATCCTTTTGTATTGCGCCATATTGTTGGAGCCATCAGGACATGTTTGCTGAACTTGTCATCAACTAGCCAAAAAATCAAAGTATCGATGTTGCTGTTGATATCCTTTGATGGTTGGAACGTTGGAATGGTTCTGGGAAGTCTGACAGCTGACATCATTTTGTTTATCTGAATATTTGTGTGTCAAATAGCAATGGCAATGATTTGGTATGATGATGCAAGGTGTTGCACCGATATGATGATACGATATTATGACTCATGACATTCTTTACAATATTGAATGCAGCATACCTGAGATACCGAGACACTGCAATCAAACGGTCCAACCATTGTAAGTTATAAGTGAAAAGCGTTACAAAGGCGTGCCTCCAACAATAGTTGTTGAGGTTCTTAATAAACATCATATGATAATTACATTTTTTTCACATTCCCGCTCCTGGCATGGGCTCACTCTTGAGAGTTTTTTTTGGAAAGGAGGTTGGAAAAAAGGAAATGGTGTGAGACATTTGCTGTGCCGCTGGTCCGAAGGCTGTCGAGGCCAGGTGGCCTGAGATTCATTTTTTCCAAAGAAATTGTGCTTTTTTCGTGCTTTTTTTGTGCTTTTTTGTGCTTTTTTTTGTGCTTTTCCGGCGCTCCCGAGCACAAAAAAAAGCACAAAAAAAAACACAATTCATAGCACAAAAAAAAGCACAAAAAAAAACACAATTCATACCACAAAAAAAAGCACAATTATTCATACCACAAAAAAAGCACAAAAAAAACCACAATTCATACCACAAAAAAAGCACAAAAAAAAACACAATTCATACCACAAAAAAAAGCACAAAAAAAACCACAATTCATACCACAAAAAAAAGCACAAAAAAAACCACAATTCATACCACAAAAAAAAGCACAAAAAACACCACAATTCATACCACAAAAAAAAGCACAAAAAAAACACAATTCATACCACAAAAAAAAGCACAAAAAAAATCACAAATCACACAATTACCAACAGCACAAAAAAAGCACAAAAAAAAGCACAAAAAAAACCACAATTCATACCACAAAAAAAAGCACAAAAAAAACCACAATTCATACCACAAAAAAACACAAAAAAAACCACAATTCATACCACAAAAAAAGCACAAAAAAAAACACAATTCATACCACAAAAAAAAGCACAAAAAAACCACAATTCATACCACAAAAAAAAAACACAAAAAAAACCACAATTCATACCACAAAAAAAAGCACAAAAAAAAA